AAGAAAGAAGCTCTTAGATTTGCAACACATGGAAAAACCCGGGGAGCACCCCGCCTCGTCCGATCTCGGTGCGCCGCGGGAGCCTTCCGGGTTTTAGATCGAGCCTCTCGTCGTCCTCAATGCCCCTCCACCTCCGCCGGGTTTAGGATCCGAGGAGTCCGAGCAAAAAGTTCTCCCCCTGAGCCGAATCAAGGGGTGTCAGGGTGGGAGTTGGGGGGATTTCTCAAGAAGCGGTAGCCATTCCTCGCACCCCGGCTTCGTTAGCTGGGCCGGGGTGGGGGTGAAGAGAAAAATCCCGGTGGGTTTTCGGAAGGGCTTCCCTTCCCGGGCGAAGTCGGAGCCAGGAGACCGGGCTTCGCACATCTCCCCTTCGGCCTCTGCCTCCAGTCCCCTGCCAGCTCCCCCTTTAATTTTTTTTTTCCTCTCCTTTAATCTAATTTCTTCCAACTCCACCTTTGTTGTTAATCGGCGTCACGCCGGGATCAGCCAATCCTCGCCACGCAATCGGCTTGTCAAAAAGACTGGGCCAGCCCTGGGAAAGCAGGCCACGGGCGCTGCCCCCACTCCCGTCCTCCCCTCCACCCCACCGTCAGCCGGCAGCCCCGAGGGGAGCCTGGCACCCTGGCCTCTCCGCGCAAGCCGCAGCGGGGCAGCCTTCGCCGAGGCCTCCCGCACTCCAGCACCCTGCGGCCCGGAGATCGAAAGGCCTGGGCGGAGGCCACGCTCTACCCTCCCACTGCAGGCGGCTGTGGTTGTCGGGCTCAGCCTTCCCTCCTCCGAGGAAGGCTTATTAGGACGCAGGGAGCCAGAAGATGGAAGAACGCCTGGTTCCAACAGGCGTGCCTACGGTTTGGGCCATAGCATTGGAGGCAGCCATTGCTCCTGCTCCCAGGCCGCCAGTCTCCCTCCCACACCAACACGGCTCCAGCCCACATCTCCGCCAGCTGGGTCACCAGCCCCTTTGGACTCTCCCCTGGCACACAGCCTTCTCCATCCTCACAAAACCGCCTCGGCTGCTGTTGTGATTCCGCTTGTCTCCTGGGAGGAATGAGATTCCTTTCCCAGGACTTCCACAGCCCTCATCTGCCACGTTTCACAAACAGGGAGGAAAACCCTGTCAAGATCTGGTGTGTCCAGATTTTTTAGTGGGCAGGGCCTGTAAGAGAGGCGCATTTACCTTAATGCTAATGCCCCTTGTTTGTAGGGTTGTCTGAGACCCTGTGCTTAATTTTGACTCATCATTCGATATTTTTTAAAATATATTTTATTGATTTTTTACAGAGAGAAAGGCAGAGGGATAGAGAGTTAGAAACATCGATGAGACAGAAACATCGATCATCTGCCTCCTGCACACTCCCCACTGGGGATGTGCCAGCAACCAAGGTACATGCCCTTGACCGGAATCGAACCTGGGACCCTTGAGTCCGCAGGCCGACGCTCTATCCACTGAGCCAAACCGGTTAGGGCATCGATATTTTTGTTAATGAGTTACCCCCCTCACCCCCGCCCAGAAAAAAAAAAATTTTTAAACAAATTTCAGCCCCAGAAATCCAATTCTGCCCTTGGAACATACACAGGACATTTTGTGTCACAGGAACTGACTTTCTTGTTTTGACTGGGAAACAGCAAAGGATTTGGGAAGAGAGGTCTCAGCTTTCCCACCAGGATGATAGGGTGAGTTTGATCCAGTCGCCTGATCCCATTTTCCTTATCTATAACATTAGAATAGCAACTCTACATCCTCTGCTTTCCTCACCAGGGTTAGAGGGTCAGCAAAATGATGTATGTAAAACTGTAAGATGCTACTTGCCACAATTACAGTGGGAGAAGCTTAAACCCCAAGGAATGTGCAAGTCTTCCATGCACAGATCTGGAGTCCAGGTGTCCTGCCTCCGGGCCCTGATCATAGTGGCCGGGCTAAAGGACCTTTCAGTAAAGGCTTTGGAATAAAGCAGGATGAACATGAATCATAAGAATGATTATTATTGACTTTTCATTCCTTGGGCAGCAAAAAATCATGGCTGGCACTCTTCCCACTTGGAAACGGATGGGCTTGTTTTACATCTATTGCGTCTCTGGTGAGGTCAGAAGTCTAGGTCTTGGGCTCTGGGCCAGAGCATGAGGGAATCTGCCCTAGGTCCTTTTTCTTTGCCCCCTCTCCCAATTTATCCATCCCTCTCTGCCCTGTGACTTGGAGCAGAGCCTCCGCATTCCACAACCCCAGCCCAGGCTGGTGACAAGGCATAATCCTAACTACAAGCTCTCTGCTTGGCCCCCGGCCTTTTCCCGGGTTGCCAGTACTTCAGCAGCAGCTCATATAAAACCCCTAGTGTGCCTGGAATGCCTTAACCAAAATGTGGTACTTGAATTCCTAGTGTTCGTGGAGTAATTTTAGACAGTGAATAGATGAACATATTATTTTTAAAGTCATATATTTTTGTGTTTTGGAAATGTCCTGTTTTTTAAACATATATATATATATTGATTTCAGAGAGGAAGGGAGAGGGAAAGAGAGAGAGAAACATCAAGATGAGAGAGAATCATTGATCAGCTGCCTCCTGCAAGCCCCCTACTGGGAATCGAGCCCACAACCCAGGCATGTGACCTTGACTAGAATCGAACCCAGGACCCTTCAGTCTGTAGGCTGATGCTCTATCCACTGAGCCAAACCAGCTAGGGTGAAATGTCCTGTTTTTAAATTTTTATTTAATACTAGAGGCCCGGTGCACAAAATTTGTGCAGGGGGGGAGGGGAGAGTTCCTCAGTCTGGTCTGCACCCTCTCCAATCCAGGACCCCTTGGGGGATGTCTGACTGCCTCTCACAATCTGGGACCGCTGGCTCCTAACTGCTCACCTGCCTGCCTGCCTGATCGCCCCCAGCTGGCCTGATCGCCCCTAACCGCCTCTGCCTCGCCCCGCACTTGGGACCCAGGATTCCCTCCTCCGGCCAGTCTTAGGTACCTGGGACCCGCGCTTCTCTCCCTCTGGCCCGCTGCAGGCACCCAGGACCCAGGTTGGCTTTGCCAGGGCCGGCCGCAGCCACAGGGGACCTTGGGAGGGCGGCTTGTCCCTCTCCCAGGCCGTAGCCTGGCTGGTCCCCATTCCTCTCTCCCCAGTGTTGAGTGTCTGAGCCGTTACAGTGTGATGGCGTGATGACCATTTGCATATTAGCTCTTTATTATATAGGATAGTGACATAAAGACTTCTGTCTCTTTTCTTTTTTTTGGGGGGGGGGGGGGGTACTGTCCCTTTTTTTTTTTTTTTTTTTTTTTGGGGGGGGGGGGAGTACTGTCCCTTATTTCTTTTTATTTTTTTTTAATTGAGGTAGAAATTACAGATAAATAAGTATACGCATCTTAAGTGTACAGTTTGATGAATTAGTATACATGTCGTGTGTGTGTGTGTGTGTGTGTGTGTGTGTGTGTGTGTGTAATGAAACCGCCACCCAGATAAAGATATTGAATATTTCCAGCATCTAGCAAGCTCACTCGAAGTCCACATTCATCTCCAAATGTCACCAGTATTCCGAACTCTTATTGCCAAATAGAAGTTTAGCCAGTTTTTGGAGTTCGTGTACATAGAATTATACAGTGTGTACTCCTTTACATCTGACCTCTCATTCACCATTATGTCTGAGACTATCATGTTGGATGTAGTTCATTCCTTTTCATTGCTATAGTATTCCATTTCATAAATATGCCACTATTTATTCTTCCTATTTCTAATGGTCATTTCAGTTGTTTATTGTTATAAATAAAGCTGCTCCAAACATTCTTGTGCATTCCTTTCGGTAGACATATGGCATTCATTCCTCTCAGGTATATTTCTAGGGGTGGAATTTCTGGATTAGGATATAAATATATTGAACATTAATTGCCCAATGGTGTTGCCAGTGTTTTTGGATTTTTGGACATGTGAATGTGCGTAGTGATATCTCATTGCTTTAATTTGCAATTCCTTAGTGGCATATGATGTTGAATATCTTTTCACATGCTTAGTTGCCATCTGTTTATGCTTTCTGGTGAGATGTCTGTTCAGATCTTTGTCCCATTTGTCAGTCAAGTTGTTTGTTTTCTTGTTGTTGAGTTTTAAGAGTTCTTTATATGTTTTAGGTGATAGTCCTTTACCAGACATGTCTTTTACAAATATCTTCTCCCAGTCTGCAGCTTGTCTTCTCATTCTCTTGATGTTATCTTTTGCAAAGCAGAAGTTTTTTATTTTAAAATTGATCTGTGACCTCCTGGTTCATGGGGTCATGCTCAACCACTGAGCCACACCAGCCCGTGTAATATTTTGTTGTTGTTGTTCATTTGCTTATTTGTTCGGAGTTCTCTGAGTTTCTTGGATCTGTGATTTGGTGTCTGAAATTAATTTGGGGAAGTCTCAATCATTATTGCTTCAAATATTGCTTCTGTATGTCATTTTCCACCCCATTACTGTGAATATGTGTCATATGTGTGTGTGTGTTTTAATCATCACCCGAGGATATGTTTTTATTGATTTTTAGAGAGAAGAAGGAAGAGAGAGAGAGAGAGAAACATCGATTGAACCACAACTTAGATTATGTGTCCTGACCAGGAATCAAACCTGCAACCTTTTGATGCACAGGAGGACGCTCCCACCAACTAAGCCATTGGGCCAGGGCTTTGTGTCCTTATATTTAAAATGGGTTCTTGTAGGTAATATATAGTTTTTTGTGTTTTTATCTATCTGACAATCTGTTATTGAATTGGTATATTTAGCCCATTGATATTTAAGGTGATTATTAATTAATATAGTAGGATTAATATTTACCATATTTGTTACTATTTTCTATTTGTTGCCCTTGTTCTTTTTTTTTTTTTTTTTTTTTTTTTTTTTGGTATTCTTGTCTTCCACATTTTTTCTGCCTTTTGTGGTTTTAACTATTTCATATGAATTAATCTTCTCTCCTTTATTAGCATAACATTATACTTTTTCCCACTTTTTTTAGTGGTTGCCCTAGAGTTTGCAATATAATATTCAAGTCCATTTTTAAATAACACTATACCACTTAACGGGTAGTGGAAGTACCTTATAATAACAAAATATTTTTTAGCCGAAACCGGTTTGGCTCAGTGGATAGAGCGTCGGCCTGCGGACTGAGGGGTCCCCGGTTCGATTCCAGTAGAGGGCATGTACCTGGGGTGCGGGCACATCCCCAGTGGGAGGTGTGCAGGAGGCAGCTGGTCGATGTTTCTCTCTCATCGATGTTTCTAACTCTCTATCTCTCTCCCTTCCTCTCTGTAAAAAATCAATAAAATATATTTAAAAAAAATTTTTTTAATGTTTTTTGTTTAGTGATATTTTTATTATATGTGAATATTCTCCAGGTGAATTACCTAAGTCCTGAAACAGCAACAAAAATATATTACTCAGATATTTTATAATTCTGATACCTGAAATAAAGACAAATAGAAAACTATGTTAAAACATTAAAAGTTGCAACTTTTCATTAAAAGGATTTACATTTGTAGCCTAATGCCAATTTATCCATACAATTCTTTTAAATTCGATTGATAGGATATTCTGTAATATGAAAATAACAGAAATAAATATTTTTAATTACCCACAACATATTCATGAATAAATTTTCGACTATTAATTATTGTTCCAAATTCAGATGCTTATTTATGAATGGCTGACAAAGCTTATAGTTCCCTTTACATTTTTACCCTTTATTCTCAGTTCCTTAATAGTATATAACTCAGCCCTAGCCAGTTTGGCTCAGTGGATAGAGCATTGGCCTGCAGACCAAAGGGTCCCGGGTTGGATTCTGGTCGAGGGCATGTACCTTGGTTTCAGGATCCTCCCTGGCCCAGGCCCTGGTCAGGGTGTGTGCAGGAGGCAACCAGTCAATGTCTTTCTCTCACATTGATATTTCTCTCTCTGTCTTTCCCTCTCTCTTCCACTCTCTCTAAAAATCAATGGAAAAATATCCTCGGTGAGGATTTTAAAAAAAAGTATATAACTCTGTAAAGCAAGTATGTCAAACTCATGGGGCTGCATGCCTGCTTGCTGTAAAGCTTTCATGGCCACAACTATTGCCATGGATCATTTCAAATGCATGATGTTTCTGTAACCAGCAAGACTAACCTGTATTATTTTTTTAATTTTAAAAAATATTTTATTGCTTTTCAGAAAGAGAAGAAGCAAGAGAGAAAGAGAGAAACATCTATGTGAGAGCAAAACATCAATTGGCTGCCTCCTGCATGTCCCCCAGGAGGGATGGAGCTGCATAACCCTTCCATGTGTGGTACGATGCCCAATCAACTGAGCCACATCGCCAGAGCAATAACTAAACATTTCTAATTCCTCTCTCTCTTGTCCCTTGTATCATTGCTGTCATTCCCTTCATTTACACACACACAGTCAAATACATTTTTGCTATTATTATTTTGAACAAACTGTTTTCTGTTAGATGAATTAAGAATAAGAAAAATAAATGTTTTTCTACCTTTTCTTACTCCTTTGCCAATACTTTCCCTTCCTTTTTAAACATTTATTGATTGATTTGAGAGAGAAACATCGATTTGCTGTTCCACCCATTTATACAGTCATTGGTTGATTCTTTTATGTGCCCTGACCGGGGATCAAACCTGCAGCCCCGGCACATCAGGACAATGCCCTTACTAACTGAGCTACTCAGCTAGGGCCTTACCTTCACTTTTGAAGGATAATTTCACAGGGTGCAAAATTCTAGGTTGGTGGTCATCTCTCTGTCAATACTTTATATACTTTACTTTCTCTCTTTGGCTTCTTGGATGTAACTCTTATCTTTGCCCCTTTGTAGATAAGTTTTTTCCCTCTGGCTTCCTTCAAAAATTTTTTTCTTTACCTTGAATTTTCTGGAGTTTGAATATGATATACTTTTGTGTAGGGTTTTTGTTGTTTGTTTCGTGTTCTCTGAGTTTCCTGGATCTGTGATTTGGTATCTGACATTAATTTGGGAAATTCTCAGTCATTATTGCTTCAAATACTGCTTCTGTTTTTCTCTTTCTTCTCCTTCTGGTATTTCCATTATGTGTCTGCTATACCTTTTGTAGTTGTTCCACAGTCTTTGGGTGCTCTGTCTGCTTTGTTTTGTGTTTTTTTCCTCTCTCTTTCAGTCATTATTCTCTTTGCTTTTCAGGTTTGGAAATTTTTATTGTCATACCCTCAAGCTCACAGATTTTTTTCTCAGCCATGTTGTCTGTTAATGAGCCCATCAAAGGCATTCTTTATTTGTTACAGTGTGTGTGTGTGTGTGTGTGTTTTTATCTCTAGCACTTCTTTTTTATTCTTTTCTAGAATTTCCATATTTCTGCTTAGATTACCTATCTGGTCTTTCATGTCATCTACTTTTTTCTATTGAATTGGTTGACATATTAATTATAACTTTAAAAACTCCTAGTTTATTAATGCCAACATTCATGATCATATCTTAGTTTGGCTGTTTATTCTGCCTTTTTCAAACTGTGTTTTTGCCTTTTAGTATGCCATATAATTATTTGCTGAAAGGCAGATATGAGGTTCTGGGTAGAAGGAACTGTGTAAATAGGTTCTTAGTAATGTGGTGGTGAGGTGTGGTGGTGAGGACGCATTCTCTAGTCCTGTGATGAGGTCTCATCTTTTGGTGAGCCTTTCTCCTGGACTGTGAGCTTCGCCGGCACTTCTGTTTTCTCTCCTTGTTAGGTGGGACAAGATGGATACAGCTAGGATAAAACCCCATTTCAGTTAGGATCTGCTAAAACCCCAGCAGGTTAGGCTCTGGTAAAATAGTTTCTCCTGAGGGCAAGCCTTCTTAAGAACCGAATGCTCTGCCATATTTAAAAAATGGTTCCTTTTCCCTTCTGCTTGCCAGAAGCATGAAGGGAATTTTTCTTTGATATGCACGGTGAGGACCTGGTAGAGCTCTTGGAGAGAAAACTCACAAATGACTGTGTCCCCCTGGAGTTTTTAAGTCTTAGACATAAACCTCCAGCAATTTGTCAATTACAGTTTAGGCTTTTCTACCCCAGCACTGGTTCTGGTGGAGGTTTCTGCTCAGGTAGGTTGTGATACTCTGTATCCGGCTGTCTGTTTCTCCAATTTAAGGGGCAGCAGTTTGTCCTGTGACCTCACTTTTCTGGTAGATCGAAGAAGAGTTGATTTTTCCGTTTGTTCAGCTTTTTGATAACAATTTTAAAAATTGATTTCAGAGAGGAAGGGAGAGAGAAACATTAATGATGAGAGAGAATCATTGATCGGCTGTCTCCTACACGCCCCACACCGGGGATCGAGCCTGCAACCCAGTCATGTGCTGTGACCAGGATTGAACCAGGACCTCCTGGTTCATACGTTCACACTCAACTACTGAGCAACATCAGCTGGGCACATCTCACACATTTTGATGTTTTCATCTTCATTCAGTTCAAAATATTTTCTAATTTCCCTTATGACTTCATCTTTGATCTATGGGTTATTTAGACGTCCTTTGCTTAGTTTCCAGTAGGGGTTTTCCAAATGTCTTTCTGTTATTGATTTCTAATTTAATTCTCTGTGGACATGGATTATATTTTCTATTATTTCGTGTTTTTTTACAATTGCTAAGGTTTGTTTTATGGCCCACAGTATGGTCAATTTTGGTGAGTGATCCATGTGCAATTGAAGAGAATGGGTTTTGCTATTGTTGGTTGAAATATCTATGAATATAAATTAGGCCAAGTAGGTTGATAATGCTCTTCAGGTGTTCTATAGCCTTAACAATTTTCTGTCTACTTGTTCTATGGATTACTGAGAGTGGTTGTAGTTTCCTACTATGATTGTGGATTTATCTAGCTTTCCTTTCAGTTCCATCAGTTTTTGCTTTATGCACTTGAAACTCTGTTAAAAATTATCTATGTCCTGCCTTAACTGGTTTGGCCCAGTGGATAGAGCGTCGGCCTGTGGACTGAAGGGTCCCAGGTTCGATTCCGGCCAAGGGCATGTACCTTGGTTGCGGGCACATTTCCAGTAGGGAGTGTGCAGGAGGCAGCTGATCAATGTTTCTCTCTCATCGATGTTTCTAACTCTCTATCCCTCTCCCCTCCTCTCTGTAAAAAATCAATAAAATATATATTGGCAATGCCAGTCAATACCTGAGAGTCAAGCCCGGCCAGCATGGCTCAATGGTTGAGCATCCACCTAGGTCATGATTTGATTCCAGGTCAGGGCACATGCCTGGACTGCAGGCTCAATCCCCTACATGGGGTGTGCAGGAGGCAGCCGATTAATGATTCTCTTTCATCATTGATGTTTCTATTTTTTCTCTCCCTCTCCCTTCCTCTCTGAATCAATAAAAATATTTTTTTTAAATATGTAAATTAGTTTTACATATAAATAAACCTGGAGGAATATACTCTAAATTATTAACAGTGCTTACTGGGGATGGTTATTGGAGGCTTTTATTCTCTGTGTTAAATAGTTCCCTAATCCTAACTGTTTTATAATATACATACATCCTTTTTGAAAGTTAAACATGTAAAGATGTGTTTAAGAAGAGAGATAGTTGCATGCCTATGAATGTGTCCTCTCAGCCTACAAAGCATTCTTTTGTTCATCTTGGAAAAAGGTCAGCTGGATGCTCTCTGTCTGTCCTGTTCTTGCCAAGCTCCAGACCATGGTCCACACCTCCTGCTTCTGCTTCCTTACCAGCCCTTCCTTCCTCACCGCCTGTCATCTGGCTTTGGGCCCAGGTGCCTGGGAAAGAAACAACTTTCTGAGGTCACCATGTGGCCTGTCAACCCATAAGGCTTTCTACCATGTCATTTGACTTTGCTGAGCAATTTCACCCACTTTATCTTTTTTTTAAAAAATATATTTTATTGAGTTTTTACAGAGAGGAAGGGAGAGGGATAGAGAGCTAGAAACATCGATGAGAGAGAAACATCGATCAGCTGCCTCCTGCACACTCCCCACCGGGGATGTGCCCACAACCAAGATACACGCCCTTGACTGGAATCGAACCCAGGACCCTTGAGTCCACAGGCCGACGCTCTATCCACTGAGCCAAACCGGTCAGGGCCCCACTTTATCTTTAGTATGTTTCTTGGCTGTTTTCCATTTTCTAAACCCTTATTCCCTCAAGACATTCCCCCTCTCTCATCACTGGGCCAGCTCTTACTTTGCCCTCAGGAGTCAAAGCAAATGCCTCTGTCTCCAGGAAGTCTTGCCTAACCCTGTCCCACTTCTGTTCTCACTACTCCCTGCAGAATACTCATCACTGTTGTCGAATACCTGGCTCCCATGCTGACTGGAGGTCCTCTGAGGATAGGGGCTGTGTCCACCTGCCTGCTACTGACCCACAGGCAGAGTCCCAGTGTGCCTCCTTGCAGCCGATCCCTCCTGTAGATAGCTCCCAAGAGAATCACTTCCTATTGCTCCCCAGTTCAAGAACCTGCAATGACTTCCGAGTGCCTGCTGAATCCAGTCGGAAGTCTCAAGGGCTGGTAAGTGGGTGAAATTACTGAGCAAAATCAAAGAATTTGGGCCAACAGAGCAAAAGCCTACAACACAGTGCTGATAATATATAGAAACGCACACACACACACACACACACCCCACAAACCAACTGCAAAGAGACACTTTGAGAAATTTGGTTATATTTAATTACACCAATAGGAAAGTTTTCTGTTCAGTGAGGTGGACAAAGTTTCAAGAGCAAGATGACAAGATGCGAGAATATTTTCACAAGGTCTAAAATCAACAAAGGGTAGAATCTTCCAGAAGCTCTTGCAAATCAACATCCAAAATATTCCATTGAAATATGACCAAATGATATGAAAAGACAATTTATAGAAGAGGACATCTTAAAGAATAATTGGCAATGCAGAGATGCTCAAACTCTTCGGTGATCAGAGAAGTGTAAGTATAACAATAATGAGATGATGCTCCAGTCAGATTAGCAACAACCAGACAGCTGGATAATGTCAACCACATGGGACCATGGGAACCTCCTGCACTGCCTGTGGAAGCATGAACTGATGCAGACATTTTATTTTATTTTATTTTTTAAATATATTTTGTTGATTTTTTTTTTTTTACAGAGAGGAAGGGAGAGGGATAGAGAGTTAGAAACATCGATGAGAGAGAAGCATCGATCAGCTGCCTCCTGCACACCCCCTACTGGGGATGTGCCCACAACCAAGGTACATGCCCTTGACTGGAATCGAACCTGGGACCCTTCAGTCCGCAGGCCGATGCTTTATCCACTGAGCCAAACTGGTCAGGGCTGATGCAGACATTTTAGAGAAAAATATGGCTGTGGCTAGTCAAATTGAGACAAATATATTTATACCCTATGACCTAGTAAACCTGCTTCTGGCTCCTACATATATAACCCAAAGAAATTCTCCATAAGAGCCGTAAGAGGATAAGGCTGAGCATCGTTTGCAGGAGGAGAGTTGGGTGCAGTGCGGTGTCCCTCCCTGGAGGAGTGGAGAGGCTAAAGGTGGGGGATGCCCCGTGGAGCACCATGCAGCAGTTAAAGCAACTCCATGTTCACAGAGCAACCTGGCCGGTTAAAACCATAGTGCTGGGTGGAAAGAGGACCAAGGCCTACAACACAACGCTGATAATATATAGAAATTCACATACACACACCCCACACAAACCAAGTGCAAAGAGACATTTTGAGAAATTTGATTACAAATTGGATATCAGGTATTATAGCTAATTTTGTTGGGTGTGCAGTTAGGTAAGAAAGTGTTCAGTGTTGGAGGGGATGCATAGCTAAAAAATATAGGGGTGAAATGGCATGATGTCCGGGATGGACTTTAAACTATTTAGTTTAGTGAAGGGAACAATGAGAAAGATGAATCAAAGATTTAAGCAAAACCTCAAGGCAAAATCTTGATAATTATTGAGTTTAGGAGACAAGTATATGGGAATTTGTTGTACTATTGTTTATATTTGGTATACGTATTAAAACTTTTATAACAAATTTAAAAATATCAAGGATACATATTTTCAAGACTATGTTCACACAAAAAGATACACATTAAACATGTTTGAGTCATTGTCTATGGAGGGGAAAGAAAATAGGAGTAGGAAATGAGGACAAAAGGGGAGGAAGGAAGGAAGGAAACATTAATGTTCAATGATAATTTGCCGTGAACTGAGGAGGAGGATTAACTTAACCCTCTGCACCTAAAGTCCAAAAGAAGAGGAGGAAATGATATCCCCTGTCATTCTCCCCCCATGGCACTTTAATTTTTTCTGTCTAACCGCCTAACCTTCATTCTTCATTCCTGTGCGTATTAGACTTCCCGGCAGAGCTGTCACCAGGACAGTTAAAGCACTTTGTGCCTTGCTTGACAGGAATGAAGTTTTGTTCACCAAATGCCAGTCCTGGGCTGGGACCTCTCGGTCTGTGATCGCATTATCTCCAGTTTACAGAGGTGGACAGCGGAGCTCAGAGAGGAGGTTCTTTGTCCAACTCCTAAGTCACAAAGCTGGAACTCCGATCCCCTTGGCCTCAAACACCCAGGATTATGTGACTGCATCAAGCTGATCCAACGTCACTATTATTTGAAAGGCCTCCCTGTGGTGCCTTTATATTGATGTAATTTACTAACTGCTCTCCTATTTCTGAGAATTGGGGTTCTTTCTAGTGTTTTGCTTTCATAGATAATCCTGCAAAGAATATCTTCAGGTTTAGAGCTCTTTGCTTCTGTTGAACTTTTTCCTTACCAGGAGTGGGGTTACTTTCTGTTCACCTAAAAGGGTGGATCTCACAGTGGCCATTAATTCACTTTGAGGGAATTTCCATGAAAGGAAATGCAGGGAGTGGGGGCGCACAGGGCATCTGTGCAGGGGCAGGAAATGCAGGAGGAATGAGGCCTCGGGCCAGGCAGGAAGTCAGATCCTGATTGATTTCTGTGGTCTTCACATTTTTCTACTGCCTTCCGGCCTCAAGGTGGGGAATGGGGTTCTGGCAGGCTCAGGGCAGGGCCAATGCAGTGGGACATGACGCTGCTGTGCGTGGGAGGTGGGTGGCTGGGGTTGCCTGGGGCTCCTGAAGCTCTCTAGTCCTTTGGCTGCTGCGCTGGCCAGCCTGGGAGGGGTCAGCTGGGGATAGGCAGCAAGTAAATATAGATCCAGGGAAGGAAGCCAGGCGGACCAACCCGCACTGACCTCTGGCTGGAAGGCTGGGGAGGGTGGAGGGGGAGTAGGCCCTGGCATCTTCCTCTCCATCTTGGGTGACACCCTGACCCAGCAGCTCCCTAGAATTGCTGAAGGCGGCTGGGGGCAGGGGGGCGGGATTGGGGAGACAGTGTCTCCAAGGGGATCAGAGTGGGGGTTAGTGGGAAGCTGGTCAAGAGATGCTGTTCCTCTGTGACTGACAGCCAACTGCATTTCCTCTCTGCTGGTCCCTCAGACACGTGGCCCAGCTTGAAGAGGCCAGGCGAAGGGACTGGCTGTTTCAGAGGGATGTGGGGTCCACGGTCCTAGAGGCAAGGCCAGGCCCCTTTACAGGCCCCTCCCCACCCCCTTGGCTCTTGCTTATTCTGGAGAGGAAGGATGTCCTGAGTGAACTTGCTTCCCTTGCTCTCTGCCCCTCACCGTGTGCTGGTCCTCTCAGCCCCTAAAGCTTGGGGGCCACCAGCCTTGCCCTGCCCCAGCCTGGCTCTCCTTGCACCCGGGCTGCAGCCCAGCACCACCTCCACACCACACACCATGTCCGCCTGGCCCAGCCAAGACCCCTGGGACCCCTGGCTCTGGGAGCGGCATTCCAGCAAGGCAGTCACTCCACCACAGATACATTTATTGGCAAAACCTATTCCTAGGCATCGAGGGGAAGGGCACAGGCAGAACGGGTGGCTTTCTTTCCAGTGTTCGAGGAGCAGAGGGAAGGAGGGGCAGGGACATCTCAACCAGAAGAACAAAACCAGCAGCTAACATTTATTGGGCAATTCCTCGGAGGCCTGTCCATGCACTGTCTCACTCAATCCTTATAACAAGCCTAGAGACTGACACCATTATCCTTCCCGTTTTACAGAAAGCGAAGTGGTGGGCTCTGGCCAATTTGGCTCAGTGGATAGAGCGTCAGCCTGTGGACTGAAGGGTCCCAGGTTCGATTCTGGCCAAGGGCACATGCCTGGGTTGTGGGCTCGATCCCCAGTAGGGGGCGTGCAGGAGGCAACTTATCAATGATTCTCTCTCATCATTGATGTTTCTCTCTCTCTCTGTCTTCCTTCCTCTCTGAAATCAATAAAGACATATATTTAAAAAAAAAAGAAAAAAAAAGTGAAGTGCTGGGAGGCTGCTGTCAGCCTTCAGGGATGTACCCAAGGGCCTTCCACCAGGAGTCCAAAGCCCCCTTTCTTTTCTGTCATACCACGCTTCTCAGTTTCAACCATCTCTTACCATTTCTAGCTCTTTCAACTATTTTTATATTTTTGTTTTTTAAAAAAATAGATTTGCCCATATTCTGCAGAACCCACTGTCTCCTGCTTCAACTGGTCACACCTGGGTTCTCCCCAAGATTCAGCTCGGGTGGGGTTGGGGGCAGTGGGTCTCTAATGGGGGTCTGGGCATGTGTGAGGCCAAAGTACAGTGATAGCTCTGAGAAAATACACAACCAATAAATTACAAACTTCCCTCCCCCTCCCCATGCCCTCCCTCCCCACCCACCCAAATCTAGACCAGACTGTGAGTTACCCATCACTCCCCATCCCTCAGCAGGGTTCTTGGCTCTGTCAGCTCTGTGTCCACAGGGCCCAGGGGCTCAGTAAATGCTTGTGGAGTGAATGAATGAGTGAATGAATGAGAGCATGGGGGGAAGGGAACAAGCACTTAGGAGTCCTGAGTCCCAGCCCTGATGGTCTCCGTACCCACCTTGCCCTCACCAGGACACCGCCCTCTGCTCCAGAGAAAAGGGTCCCCAGGTCCGGGGTTGGAGTGGAGAATGGGAGGGGAGGCATCAGCAGGGGCATCGCTAAGCATGGGACGGTGGATGACTAGAGTAGAGCACAGAGCTCTGGCCTCAGAATCGGGAGACCCGGTCCAAATCCCAGCTGTAGGGTTCGGGAGCTGTGTGACCTTGGGCAGGCTTGAAGAAGAATGACTACAGCTTCGGTCGCCAACCGGTGGCCTGCGGACCACTGGGGGTCCGTGAGGTCCGAAAGGTTGGCGACCGCTGGACTACAGCATAATAGTCCTTTCAGAGTTTACAAAGCCCTTTGTTCACATTTATCTTTGGTCCTCAGTAACCATCCTGTAATGTGGGTATTATGATCAATATACCCATTTTACAGAAGAAAAAGCAGAGGCTGGAGAGGTTAAGGACTTGCCCAAGGTCACATGGCAAGCTGAAACTTGAACCCACCCTCCCCACTCCCTCCCTCACTATTCCCCCAGTCTGTGCCAGATCTAAGTCGGGCTCAGACCTAAGTCTTCCAGCAGGGTATCCCCATGCGGAGCGCGGCAGCAGTGGGGGGCTGCACAGTGGATGCCCTAATGTGGGCTCCACTGGCCATTTCCAGCCAAAAAGAAAAAAGTCAGTCTAGACATCGTGGAAGGTTTTCTAGACACCCCTTCCTCCCCCCACCCACAGCCTCGGGGCCTCAGCTGCTGCCCCAGGAGGGACCTGGGAGTCCATGAGGTGCCCTTGAACTTCTGCTTTTCCGGAGAAAGTGGAGCAGTGGAGTGGGGGAGAGGTCTGGGGCCTGGGCCCTCCTCTCACACAGGCATGGGCACCTCGTCATATTCATCCCGACCTTCCTCCTCATCAAGGCTTGGCTTGGCATCGTCAGCGTCCAGCTGGAGGGCGGGGTAGGAAGGAGAGAGGGTGAGTGGCCCGGGGGCCAGATGAGCCCTCCCCCAGCGCTAAGAGGCACCCCTGGAGTTAGGAGAGGGCCTGCTCTCTTTGAACCTTGGTCAAGTCCTGCCCCCAGGGTTGGTCCACATGAGAGATTCCCGAAGGGTGGGGAGCCCCTGGGCATCTGATGCCCTTGGCAGGAGGCGGACCTCTAGAGGGCAGGCAGGGGGCTCCCTCACCAGGGCAGCCCCCCAGTGGCCTGTGTCACATCTTAGAAAAATTCTACTGGGGGAGCAGACTCTTCCAAAAGGATTTGGAAGACCGCAGGACCGGCTGCTCAATGGTCAGGACCGCTCACTTGGGTCACGTCCTGTGTGCCTCTTAACCCTCTCCCCTCCCTGTCGTTACTCCTCCTTTTACAGGCGAGCAAACCCACGGCACAGAAAGGTGAGGCCACTGGGATGTGGCAGTGCCAGGATTTGAATGCAGGCCCCAGATCCAGACCTTCACCGCACCCCCTCTGCCTTCCTTCATTCTGAGACCCACCCCTCTCTCACAAGCCCTCCCTGAGCCAGCGCTGGGGTCCTGCCCTCCAGCTCCTGCTCTCTCTCAGCCTCCCTCCTCCCCCAGGCCTTGAGAGGTGGGGCTGGGGAGCGGCCACTCACACACTGGAGCTCCAGGTTCCTGAAGATAAGTGGCAGCAGGAGCCGCCGCAGGGGCACCGTGAGGATAAGGACGAAGGGCAGGGCCAGCGAGGTGGTCTGGAAGGATTTCACTGCCCACAGCCCTGCCAGGCAGACGATCTGGATGCCGGTGAACAGGTGCATGCGCCAGGTCTTTACCTGTGGGCGGAGGCTGGGGTCATCGCCTGCCCTGCCCGGCACCAAGCACTCCCACCCCGCCCTGGGCTGGGCAGCCGGAGGGCCCTGTACCCGCTTGACGTAGGGCACATCCGGGTGGTACTTGGGCGGCTTGAAGAGCAGCAAGATGCGGTCAAAGAGCTGGATGCCGCTGAGGGAGGTGACCCCCATGTAGAGGAAGATGCCGAACAGCACAGCCAGGGGGATGTGGGACAGGATGGGCCCCATGAGGATGGACAGGCCTGCAGGGAGAACCACACACTGTCAGCCTCACGGGCCCTGGAGGACCGGCACCAGGGCGGGGAATGAAACCACCGGTGCCATGTAGAGTCCTTTCTGTGGTTTTTTTTTTTTATTCTCACCAGTGGATATGTTTTTTTCATTGGTTCTAGAGAGGAAGGGAGGGGGCGGGGAGAAGAGAGAAGGAGGGAGGGAGAGATATGAATGTGAGAGAGGAACATCGATCTGTGCCTCCTGTACATGCCCAGACCGGGATTGAACCCATGACCCTTTGGGCATTGGGATGATGCTCTAGTCACTGAGCCACATAGGCCAGGGCTCTGCGGATCCTTTTAATAGGTATTACCCGCCTTTTAGAGATGAGGAAACAGACTCAGAGAGGTGAAGCAACTTGCCTGAGGCCACACAGCTAGTAACCGGCAGAGCAGGGAGGGAGTCAAGCTCCGGCCTGCCTGACTTCAAAACCTACTCCTTTAACCTAGGGAGGTCAGAGTCAGAGAAGCCCAGCTTTTTCCTCACCTCAGCCTCCATCGTATCCAAATCCTAACCCTCCTCTAGCGAACACCACCTCGCCTTCTTTAGCAAACTTCCCTGGCCGCTCCATCAGCGATCACAGTGAGGCCCACACCAAGTCCAGCCGGACTCACAGCTACTCCAGGCTCAGATCAACCCCGTGACCCTCTGCCTTCTCCTCCCCCTCCCCCACCCCAGCCTGGAGATTATGCCCTGGAGCACTCCCCTTTGTGTCCGTCAGAGAGCAGCTCAGCTAGAGAGACCTCAGGGGGCACCTAAGAGACCCTGTAATGGTGCAAAAAGGGAAACTGAGGCCCACAGGGCAGGGCTGGGACTCGCAGTTTGTGAGCTTCCGTCTAGAGAAGCCCTCCTTCCTCCCCTGCTCAGATGCCCACCTCAGCGCCTTGGTAATTTCTGTCATGTGACTAACCCTGGGGAGATGTGGGCAGCAGGTGTGTCGGGAGGGCTGGAGGGGACTGGATCCTAAGGGGCTGGAGGCCTGGGGCAGGGCCAGAGGGTGGTAGAGAGTGCGGCCAGCCCTCACTCACCCACAAGCACAGAGACCAGGAGCCCGCTGATCCGCTGCTCCTTGACCTCCTGGATCTGGGCTGCAGCCCCGGGGGCACTGGCCTTGCCCATGACGGTGAGGGCGTTGGCATGGGTGACGGAACGCACGGTGGTGGCGCTGAGCCAGGGCATCCCGAAGAGAGTGGCCAACCCGCCCATGCCCATGACCAGCAGCAGGTCCAGGTGGAAGCCGGAGCCCTTGACCAACTTGCGCTCTGGTTTGCTGATGATCAGCCTGGGGGGTGGGAGGTGAGGGGTAAGCGGGGCTCTCCCTCCCACACCCCCCTCGGCCCCTCCTTCCTTCCCCACACTTGAGTCTCTATGTGCCTCAGTGTACCCTTCTGTGCCCATCTCCCTTGGAGTTCTTTGGCCCCCTCCCTCCCACCCCACAGTGAGAATCCAGACTCTCCACAGGCAGGTTTGCTCTGAAGCTAATGAAGCGTAGGCTCCAGCGAGCGTCACTGGCACAGGTCCTTTCCGAGACCTGGCACCTTATTTTGTGGTTCTGGTTTTGTGTTCCTTTCCTTACAAAGGGCTCCCTAAGTTATACATTGCTGGGTCCCACACAACCTGGCCCTGCCCCTGTGAGCAGGGAGGGCCACACATCCCACTGAGTCTCACTAGCATCAGTCCTGGGTGTCTGGCCCACCTGGAACCTTCCCCTTTCTCTGGCTCGAACCCTCCCAGGCCCAGCCCCACCCCGGCTCTTACGTGGTGATCTGGGACTCGAGGAAGATGAGGATGAAGACCAGCAGTGCAGGCAGAGCGGAGGCAAACATCATCCAGATGGGGAAATGGGAATACAAGCCCAGCGGGTGGATGATCCAGCCCCGGGCCGAGGAGTTGGATACTTTGAGGCCCGAAGGCACGCTGAGTTTCTGCGGGAGGAGATGCCGTTCAGAACACTGGGGCAGGATTTCGGTCATGTGACTAACCCTGGGGAGCTGTGGGCAGCAGGTGTGTCGGGAGGGCTGGAGGGGGCTGGATCCTAAGGGGCAGGGGCCGGGGCTGGAGGCCTGGGGTGGTAGAGAGTGCATGGGGAGAGGTGGAGACGGGGGAGATCGGGTCCTGGACACGTGGGGGCTCACTTTTATTGCGCATCTGCTGTGTACCCAGGTCCTACATGTATGTACATCTCACCCCAAACTTTACAGATAAGGGAACAAGGTCAGAGCGGTTGTGTAGCTTGCCTTACATCACACAACTATTTGGTGGCAGGTCTGCCTGGCTCCAAAGTAGATTCTTTCCTGCTGCCCCAGGTTAAAGAGTAAAGGGAACCTGACCCAGGCCCTGGCTTCAGCCGGAGGGGCTCTGTAAGGCTGTGGGAGGAACGGGGTGGGGTGGGGGGGCTGCCAGGGGAGCCAGGGCTGGGGGAGGTGTGGTTCTAGCTGACGCCAGGTTGGGGACAGCCATTCTGGGAGAGAGCAAGCTGGGGAAAGAACAGGAGGGTAGAGGAGAGGATCACCTGGGTGTAGGTATCCTGGATGAGAGAATCCACCATGACCATGATCAGGATGGAGATGGGAACCCCGAAGTCCCCGATTACCCGTCGCAGCTGAGGGCAGGTGGGAGAACCAGCGGTTAGTGCCCAGGTGTTCCCACCTCCCACGTGGCCCCCTTCTGCCCCATCGTCACCCAGGGGGCCCTGCTCTTCCCAGTTCTCTCCCCCCTTCCACGCCTGTCCCTGCCTCCCCACTGGGTTCTCAGCCTGGGCATGCTGAGGGAGGGGGTGGGCTTCCCTGAAGGGTGGGACCTTGAGGAGGAGGGGGCCAGGGAGGCTTGGAATTGGGCATGAGAACCTAAGGTTAGAAGGGGAGCCGATGGCGCCGGGGAAGCTAGGAGGGTGCTTTGGACTGGGATAGGGCAGGGCAGGCACAGGCAGGTGGAGACGGATGCTGACCTTGCCAGGGAAGTAGGAGCTGTTCTTGAACTTGCGCAGCGTCATGGCTAAGAAGAAGGTGCCGGCCATGAGCACAAGGGAGAGGAGGGCTGTGTTGGGCAGGGGGTCCTGAGGCTTAGGGTCTATCGTCACATTGTGTTTGTAATGCTTCTGCAGTGGGTGGCTCTGGAAGATCTGCAGCAGAAAACCAAGGCATCCTGTTCCCTCCCATCCATCCATCCATCCATCCATCCATCCTCTGTCCATCACCCATCTATCCATCCACCATCCGTCCACCTATCTTCTTCCTCAGCTGATATGGTAACAGAGGGGCAATTAAATTCTACAGCTTGGTTTTCAGGAGTGGGGACCAGGCTAGGCTTGCGTGAGGTAGGCCATGAAGGCAATTCGTGTGTGCGCGCGCATGTGTGTGTGAGTGTGTGCGTGTGTGTGAGTGTGTGTGTGTGTGTGTGTGTGTGTGTGTGTGTGTGGTGGGTGTGACCACCCAGGGCCTGGGAGACATGAGGAGACTAGAGTGCAGGGCTTTAAAGACTTGGAAAGACCCACCAACCTACAGAATCAGGGACACACATATGGTGTCCACCCTTCCTATAAATTGCAGACACAGCCCTAGCTGGTCTGGCTTAGTGGATAGACACAGCCCTCGCTGGTCTGGCTTAGTAGATAGACACAGCCCTCGCTGGTCTGGCTTCAGGCATGCGGACTGAAGGGTCCTGAGTTCGATTCTGGTCAAGGGCACATGCCCGGGTTGTGGGCTCGATCCTCAGTGGGGCATGTGCAGGAGGCAGCTGATCAATGATTCTTTCTCATCATTGATGTTTCTATTTCTCTCTCCCTCTCCCTTCCTCTGTGATATCAATAAAAATAGATTTTTTAAAAACGCAGACACAGAGGCAGGCATAGTTTGAGGTGACAGAGCTGAGGGGTCAGGGTGCTCTGTCCACAGGACCTGCAGTTCTTGAGGGCAAGTGCAGGACAGGGAGGGGGGACATCAGGGCCTCAACCCCCCTCCACCCCCACTGTCCCCACCACACATGCAATTTCCCATTTCAGGCTCACACACATGCTCACCCATTAGTCGTCTGTGTGGTTATAAACATGTGCACAGAGAGGTGCCCTCTCCTGGCCACAGTCATGGCACAACATGGATGTGGTCAGAGTCACACGCCATGAACACACGCCACACAAGTGCCACACAGACATGCGTGCAGTGGCCCGCAGCCACCTAGTCTATGCTCAGTCTCACACACGCACACCCCCATGCTCGTTCACACTCCCACCTTGACCAGTTTGAAGAACGTCTCGTAGATGAAGATGAGGGAGATGAGGAAGGAGAAGATCTCCTGGGTGTAGCGGGAGATGAAGCGGACCAGGAAACTGCCCTCGAAGGCCACCACCAGCACCACCAGCAGGATGAGCCACATGCCGATCCACACACGACCCACGAGGTACTCCAGGCCGTTACTGTCGCAGAACTGCGGGGCGGTCAGAGGGAACTGGGGTCAGACAAGCAGGCTCAGCACCGTGCACGGGGCAGGGCGCCAGAGGCCAGGCACAGGGTCACGGGGGCCAGGACAGGGCTACCGAGAAGAAGGCTTCCTCGAACACGAGCAGGGGCCCTGAGAAGCCAACCACAAGCAAGGGCTGAGCCGCCAGCAGCGCGAAGAGGATGCCCTGCGCCGCCGTGGAGATGAGCAGCTCCGACACCCCCATCTGGTTCTGGGTCTTCTCTCCTGTGGGCAGAAGGTACAGTGGGGTCAAGGGCGGGAGACCATTTCCAGCGGCCAGTGGAGCAGTTCATGGGCAGGCTGATGCCGGGTCCAGAGTGTCAGGTCGGGCCAGGAGTCAGAGCCCACAGTGGCCAGGGGATCAGAAGAAAGGGTTGGGGGAGGGGAGGGGAGGGCATGCAGAGGAACTGACCCAGGAGGCCGCCAAAGGTGATGGCAGGTGACAGGGCGGCAAAGTAGATGAAGATGACGGCAGCCAGGACCTGGGGGCTGAGTGCATCCGTGATGTCACTCAAGTAGCGAGGGTAGCGGCGCTTTATGTCACGCACCAGGCCCCCGAAGAGCATGCCTGTTCGTTGCAGAGGGTCATCCGGGCCACCAGGGACCCCTGGACCCCCATTTAAATCTGTAATAAAGAATAGGACCATGGTCATAGGGGGCAGCAGGGGGAGGTGTGGCGACAGGGGAGGGGAGGGGGGTATTGTCTGATGGCAATGGGGTAGCCAAAGTTGGCTGGGTGGCAAGAGAATAGGAAGAAGGGACACCAGGGTGTTTGATGGGAAGAGGGGAGGTAGGGGCTCACAGGGCTGTGCTGGGGTCTCTGAGGGTCTGTGGGGCCCAGAAAGCCTTGGCCTGGGCAGGGCAGGTACCTAGGCCTTTGTAGAATCTGGGGTCTGGCTTGGCAGGGCTGGGCAGGTAGCGTCTTCGCAGTAGCTCCTTCTGCACAGGCACCAGACTGAGCAGGGCCTGCTCTGAGGGGGCGTCCGTGGGAGGCAGCACCAGGCTGCAGTCCAGGAAGCCCTCCAGGGAGTGCACCAGCTCTTGCCGACTCTGGGCCAGGTACGCATCCATGCGGAACACCTGGGGGCCAGAGAGCGGGTCAGGGCCGCTGGGTGAAAGGGCCCAGGAGTCCACAGCCGGGGGCCCCAAGGACAGAACCCTCTCTCCCAGCTCCTTCTTGCTAGGAACTGCTTTTCTTGCCCACCTCCCTTACCAGCCCGCACTGACCCCCCCCCCAACACACACACACACACACACACACACACACACCACACACACACACAATGAAAGGGTTGGGAGGACGCAGACCTGGTCCTAAATGAAGAAAGGAGAGAGAACTAAGCAAACCAGATGAAGCCAGAGCAGACGAGGCCGTTCCAGGCCAGACTTGACCAGGGAGAACCAGGCCAGAGTGGGCCAGATCAGGTCATGCCAGGCCAATCCGGCAGGGCCGGGCCAGGTTACTCTGGCCAGACACGTCAGCAACAGCTGGATTAGACTGAAGGGGCCAGACTAGCGATGCTAATGTGACCCCGGCCAGTCCAGTGGAGAATGGGCCTCAACTGCCACCCAGCTGCCCAGCTCCCCCAGCCCTCGCCGGCCCCTCCTTACTCTCTCGGACATGAGGATGGCAGCAGCCCGGCCGAGCTGGGTGTAGTCAATGTGAGAGGCCTCGGGTCCCAGCAACACAAGGAGGAAGCGCACGGGCACGCGCAGCTGCACCGCGTCCACCAGCTCTACGGCCTCCTGCAGCCGCACGAAGCCCAGCACCGGCCGCTCCAGGAAGGAGGCGCGGCCTGTGGGAGGGGGTGGGGGACATGAGGTGGCCTGGCCAAGCTGAGGGGGCACAGCTGGCGTCCAGGCTTAGGGAGAGGCAGGTGGAAGCAGGGGTGTGGAGGGTTGAGTAGGGAGGAGCACCACTGCTTACCCACTAGCACCAGGGTGGCCTCCGAATCCGGGGGGATCTTTTCCAAAATTCCCGATGGTGAGTGGCCTGCTGTGCCCCCCTCTCTCTGTTGGAAGGAAGGTGGTAAGGAGAGCATCCGGCCCCCTCCTCCCCTCGCTACTCCCATTTCTAACCACGCTGCCGGCTCTCCCCAGGCACCCCTGGTACAGCCTCACCTGTTCACAGAATAGCTGGATCTCCAGCGAGGGGTGTTGTGGGAGCAGAGGCTGTGAGGGCTCCCCGGAACGTGTCACGACCGTGGGCTTCACACTCCCCAGGTCCTCTAGGTCTCCAGCATGGCTGCAGGACACAAAGGGGACATGGGCTGAGTAAGCTGCTCCGGTTGGGCTCGGCTGGGCTCGGTTGGGCTCTCCGCAGAGCACTGGTGACGGGAGGGATCAACTGGGACTCCCAGTGGCCAGACCAGAGAGACCCTGGGGCAGAAGGAGAACCGGCCCCTTCTGAAGGGTGTTGGCCGGTGGCCTCTTTCTGGAATGACTAGGTGGAGCCAGAAGAATGGATGGAGGGAAGGGCCTTGAGAGTCTGCCCTCCTGGGGACCAGTGGTCCCCAAATCTGAGCATGGAGACATGGCCCCCTGTCAAGAGCTGTCAGAGGCAGAAGCCATCCTGGAAGAAAAGTGGGGGTGGGGGTGGGGCTTTGGATTCCCAGGGAGAGCCCGGGGCAGATGGACTGGGGAGGCAGCTCTGGGGAGCGGAGTCCAGGGTGGGCAGGCAGGGGCACCTGTGTTTGAGTAGCAGGACCCGGAGCAGCTCGTCTCGGTCCTGAGGCCGGATCTGCTCCTCGTAGATGAACTGGTCCAGCAGCTGGTTGGCCACCCCAGCCAGGGAGGTCTCCGGCAGATTCAGAAGGACAGTCCCTGCAGGGAACGGAGGGTGAGCTGGACAGCTGAACCTCGGCCCTCCTCCCCACCAAGCCTCGCTGCAGGGGTCATGGAGGGGCCGTCAGGGCTCACCCTTGGTGAAGGCTCTCTGCAGCTCCAGGAGGCTCCAGAAGGTGAGGTAGGACAGGTGCGGGCGGCCCCAGGCCCCGTCCTCCCCCAGGTTCTCCTCCAGCCGCACCCAGCGCGCTGCCTCCATCCATTGCAGCTCCTGGTTCTTCTCGTCCATCACGAGTTCGTGCAGCTCCACGTAGACCTGCGGCCCCACAGACCTGAATTAGCCCATCAGGCTCCCGGCGGGGCCGTGGGGAGCTGGCAGCCCAGGGCAGGCGGACAGCAGCAGGCTCCGAGAGATGCTCCAGGAGGCCCAGAGCCCTGAGGCGTTTGGGGGCAGACCCTGAGCTCAGAGGGACAGTCAGTGGGGAACTCCAGCTGGAGTGTGAGTGAGATGGGAAGTGTGGGGAGATGCTTGAGGGTCCTGTAGGTACGGCCCACACGCTGGCTCTATTCCTCAGCTTCCTAAGCGGCCCGGACTTCATTTCAGAGGCATTTGGAGAACCTCGGGACCAAAAGGGGTGCTAGAGTGGCCACTTAGAAGGGAAAGGACGGGGGAGTCCTGGGTCATTGGGTCATCTCCTGCCTCAAAGATGGTGGAGAGGGTGTGTTGCTTGGCTTGTTCTTGGGTGTCTTTGGGGCCAGGTGGCCACTCTTGAGGGCCTAGCTGAGGACAGAACAAATTTATTAGCCGGCTAGACAGCCTGGGACCAACAGGGATGTAGGGGGCCCAGCAGAGGAGAGCGTTACTTACTTCTGTGCTTCCCCAGGGAGCACCTGACAGCACAGCCAGGGCCGCAGGGGCGACGGGGCCTAGGTCTCTGCGCCGCGGGGGCTGTCCTCTCGTCCTCTTTCCTTCCACCAATTTCCCAGGACCCGTCCCCCCAGCCTGTCTGTGGCCTGTTTGGAGCTGTGCCTGTCTCTCCGCTCCTCCCTTCCCCTGATATGATGGTGGGCCCCAGGGCAGTACAGGAACAAGGGTTGGGGAGGCTGAGTCCTTACCTCGTGGGTGCCCGGTTGGGATGAGGTTTGGTGGTAGTCTGTGGCTGTTGGCTCGGTGAAGTGAGCTGAAAACCCGGAGGCTGGTTAGTGCTGCCACCAGACAATCCTGCGCCACCCACCATCAGCCCCAGAAACCAGGGCAGGATGCTGTCCCGCTGGTGCCCCCACCCACCCCTGGGCTCTGATGCCTGGTTGTTGGCCCCGCCTGGCTCTGCCACCCCACATGGGAGCACTGTGGAGGCCCCTGGGACTCATCCTCAGGGAGGAGCAGGAGGGTCATCTCCAAGGCGATTGGAGACACCTGAACGGCGATGTTCAGGATTCTCTTAGGGTCCCCTCGCCCTCATGCCACCTTCTGGGTCCAATTCCCTTCCTCCTCACCTGCCTCAGGAGTCCTGCCAGTTCATAGCTTCTCCCCGCTTCCAAGCGGAGCTCTGGGCACCTTTATATTGCCCCCTCGCCCCCTCCCCCCAGCCCTCCATTCCCAGGGGCGCCTCTTATCATCAATGCTAATTGCCTGCACTTAAGTCCTGTTGACAGTAAATAAGCACCTGCCTGGGGCTCCCCACTAAGACCTTGGGCGACCAAGGAAGGGTTCCTGTTGTCCCTCTGCCTTGGGGGTCCCCAAGGCCCCCCATTTTTCAGGACCCCTGGACCCCCAAATGGAACAATGTTTCCAGAGCAGGGCCAGCGCCCGGCCTAGAAGCCAGTGTTGGATGGGCATGGGTGGCATGTGGGCTCCTGCCATGGTGCCAGACAGGCCTGGCTGCCCTCGCACACATCTAAGGGACAGGGTGATGGTGACGGGTGACTGGTCCTGCCCACCCCCCCAGTCCCCTCCTGTGATCATTTCAAACAAAACTCTGTTTATCCTTCAATCAGTAGGATTGTGGGAGAACTGGCCCTGGGGCTGGGACAGGGCAGGGGGGGAGTGGGGGAGTTCAGAGAAGAAGGGAGGACAAGTCCCTCAAATGTCCCTGTCTGGGGTCAGCAGCTCACCCCAGCAGAGAGAGGGAGATGGGCTTACCTTCTGGCTCCTCCACCTGGGGTACGGGGGCACCTGGATCTTCATACTCCTCCTGCTCTAGGATCTCTTCCAGCACCTCTTCGTACTCCTCCTGTGGGAAGTGGCCATTAGGACTGGGTGTGAGGGGCTTCTTGAGGCCCCATGAAGGTGGGAATGCAGGGCCAGGACCCCAGAGGCCCCAGGTAGGAGCCCTGCAGATGCCGAGAAAGACTCACCTGAAAATCCCCCATGGCGCTGTCCCGATGGTCCGATTATCCGCAGGGATGGTAGCCCCCAGCATAACCCGCACTGCGGGTCCCTGCAGGGAGAGGCACAGGCCGAGTGAGACATGGGGACCCTGTGGTCTCCTTGTCCTGCCCCAGAGCGGCTGCATTTGAGTGGACGGTGTGGGGAGACAGTGGGGTCAGAGGGAGAAGGGGTGGGTGGAGGCTTGGAGGAAGGAGCTGGATTTACAGATGTGAGGGCCAGTGTGCGGGGCCAGGAGATGGGGGGCCGTGCAGGGAGGGGAAGCCTGGCGGGGAAGGGTGTTGGGAGGATGGGTACATCCCGCGAATCTGACTCCTTTCTCCATCCACCAGTCCTCAGCTGGCTTATTTTCTTGCCCATCCCTGAGACGCAGCCAACCCCAGGGCAGCATGACCTCTCCCCGACTTAGCGCCTCCGAGAGGCTCCACAGCACACGCTCTTACCCATGCTTTGCGCTGGGCATGGGGCTGCAGCATCCTTGGGAGTGGCCCGCAGGTCCTGGAGGAGGTGGCCCTGCTTCTCTCTCCCACCTCATCCGGACTCTGCCTCTTTTTATCTCTCCCCGTGTACCCCCTGGGCCTCCTTACCAAGCCCTTATCTGCCCCAGGGCCTTTACATGTGCAGCTGCCCACATCCTGGAGGCCCTCCCCCCACCCCTCAGCCCTTCTCACAGCTCAGCTCAAATGTCACCGCTTCAGATTCCTTCCCTGACCATCCTAACGTGCACGAACTACACGTGTCATTTTCTGGTTTCTGGATTCATCTGTGCACATATTGTCTGAGGATCCCTCTAGAAGGGAAGGCACAGGAGGGCAAAGAATCTGCATGTCTCAGTCCCCACTGAACCCCCCTCCTAGCAGAATGGGTACTCACAGTAATCATTCATAAATAAATGCATGTAGCACGCACGTAAGAATGTGTCCCCCTTGCAGGCATGGGGCTCTGGGACAGGGGAATTAGTATGACTAGGACCCAGCCGGGAGACCACTGAGTCCTGCGCCTCCATTTCCCGGCTGTGTCTCTAGCAGAGAGGAAGGCATGCCCACCCCAGGAACGTGAGGACAAGTCCAAGCGGGGGTGGGTGGTGGGGGGTGACGGAGGTTCCCTAGGGTGGCCCCAGGCTGGGTATGGAGAGACTTCCTTTGCCCCCTCACCCGCTGCAGCACAGGGCATTGTGGAGAGAGATCGGGCCAGGCTGGCCAATGTGCCCACTCTGCGCCTGCGGGGTGCTCATCAGCGGACGCTGAGATGAACAACACACTGTCCCTACTCTCAGGAGGCTCCCGCCCTGACTGGGGAGACCAGCCAGGAATACGTGACCAGCTCAGTGGTTCAGGAGATAACATGTCCCTCAGACAAACAAGCTATGAGCGGAATGTGCTGGGTGCCAAGGGTCTGTACGGCAGGATCGGTCGGTGGGGTTGGGGTGGAATGTCTCTGGGGGAGGAGACACGGGTGCTGGGCCTAGAACAGTGGGTCTCAACTTCTGGCCCTTTAAATACAGGTCCTCATGTTGTGGTGACCCCCAACCATAAAATTATTTTCGTTGCTACTTCATAACTCTAGTGTTGCTACTGTTATGAATCATCATGTAAATATCTGATATGCAGGATGGTCTTAGGCGACCCCTGTGAAAGGGTCGTTCGACCACCAAAGGGGTCGCGACCCACAGGTTGAGAACCGCTGGCCTAGAAGCACCGGGAGGATTTGAAAGACTGAGAGGTGGACAGGGATGGCCCAGGTGTGAGAAATGGTAGGCAAAGGGCCGAGCTAGGACCATGCAAGGCAGGGAGTGTACACAGAAGGAGCTCTGCAGGCCTTCGAGATAGGGAGGAAGGAGGGGTCCCTGGCTTGGGGTGGTGAGGGGGCAAGGATGGCCATGGGAGTGTCCCAGAGCCTGGGATGGGACTGTCCCTACTGCACAGGACATGCCCCTTGAAGATCCTGACCACATATTTTTTCTCTCTCTCCCTGTCCTTCCCTGTCCCCTTCTCCCCAAGTTTCTCTACCTGTGTCTCATCTTTATTCTCTTTCTTTTTCTTTTTTTAATATATTTTATTGATTTTTACAGAGAGGAAGAGACAGGGATAGAGAGTTAGAAACATCGATCAGCTGCCTCCTGCACACCGCCTACTGGGGATGTGCCCGCAACCAAGGTAGATGCCCTTGACGGGAATCGAACCTGCGACCCTTCAGGCCGCAGGCCGACGCTCTATCCACTGAGCCAAGCCAGTGAGGGCGATTCTCTTCCTTATTCCTTCTCTGGCCTTGCATCTGCCTCGGCCTCAGATCCCTAGAATTCTCAAAGTGTTAAAAATCCCACCCATGGCCCTGGAGCTCTGCCTGTTTCCCATCTGAGAGGTGGAGTGGTCAGAGGGGCCCTACAGGACCAGAGAATTCAGAAACTCAGGCTTCCTCTCTGCCACTGGCCGGCCGCACGGCCTTGGGTAGCTCCCAGCTTCTCTCTAGGCCAGCGGTTCTCAAGGCATGGGTTCTCAACCTGTGGGTCGCGACCCCCTTGGGCAGGGGTTCTCAATCTGTGGGTCTCGACCCCTTTGTGCAGAGAATCAGGGTTAGGGTTAGGGTTAGGGTTAGGGTTAGGGTTAGGGTGCCTCTCTGCCAGCACGTGGCCTTGGGCAGCTCCCAGGTTCTCTCTAGGCTAGTGGTTCTCAACCTGTGGGTCACGACCCCTTTTGGCAGCGGTTCTCAACCTGTCCAATGACCCTTTCACAGGGGTCGCCTAAGACCATCGGAAAACACATCTACAATTACATATTGTTTTTGTGATTAATCACTATGCTTTAATTATGTTCAATTTGTAACAATGGAAATACATCCTGCATATCAGATATTTACATGACGATTCATAACAGTAGCAAAATTACAGTTATGAAGTAGCAACGAAAATAATTTTATGGTTGGGGGTCACCACAACATGAGGAACTGTATTAAAGGGTCGCGGCATTAGGAAGGTTAAGAACCACTGCTCTAGGTCTTGGTCATTCTGCTATATAATAGGGGGCCTTCCCCCCCGGGGTGAGCGAGAAGAGGGAGAAGAGGTGCTCCCCAGGGCCTTAGAGGGTGCACCCATAAGCCAGACTGCTGCCACCACCAGGCCCAGCCACCTTCCAGCTGCAGGCCTTGCTCTGTCTGACACTGATAAGAAGCTGGCCGCTGATCACTGCCCTGCATCTGGAAGCGTACCAAACACCTGGCCGGCTGGCCCGCCCGGGTGAGGCCAGATAAGGTGAGTGGGGCATCTGGAGCCAGGAGGTGAGGCACACACAGCTGGAAGAGGCTTGGGGGGCAGGCGGTGACCAGATGACAGGGAGGGCTCCCTGGTGGCGTAGCACCACCTTTGCGTAATCGCCCCAACATTGCACCAAGCCGTACCGTACGCCTTATTGCTTACAATCCCAAACCGCTCTGTGAAGTGGGTAGTGCCACTAGCCGTTTTACAGATGAGAAAGCTGAGGTTCAGAGAGCTTTACCTGCTTCGGTCCCCTGGTAGGTAGGCATCATAGACAGGATTAAACCCTGCCGACCTGACTCTAGCTACATCTTGAACCATTAGACGGAGTTGCCCCAGGAGAGGAAACAGCTATTAGCTGGTTTGGTGATAGTGATTAAGAGCGTGGACTCTGCAGTTAGACTGCCCGGGTTCAAATCCCAGCCCCGCCGTTTGCTAACTGTGTGACTTGTGTGACCTCGGGCATGTGACTCAACCTCTCTGTGCTTCAGTTTTCTCATCTGTAGAATTGGGGTAATATATCTACCTCAGCCCGGCCAGTGTGGCTCAGTGGTTGAATGGTAGGTATATTTTTTAAAAACTTTGAAGAAAAAAAAATATCTACCTCATAGACTTGTTATAGCCCTAGGTTCATGTGTATAAAGCATTTAAAAAAGTGCCTGGCGCATAAGGAGCTCTAGGTCAGGGGTCCTCAAACTTTTTAAACAGGGGTCCAGTTCACTGTCCCTCAGACCGTTGGAGGGCCGGACTATAGTTTAAAAAAAAAAAACTATGAACAAATTCCTATGCACACTGCACATATCTTATTTTGAAGTAAAAAAACAAAACGGGAACAAATACAATATTTGTATTTGCATGTGGCCCGCGGGCCGTAGTTTGAGGACCCCTGCTCTAGGTGAACGTTTGCCATCATTATCATTGCTACTGGGTATCAAGATTGGATTCACTACCCTCATCCCCCTCTAATTCCCCAGTTCCCGTAGAATTAGCCTAAGTGCTTTGAGGTGCTCAGGTGGTAGGGGACTTCTCCTTTCCCTCCAAACACTCCCTAGAGTGGGGATGGTGCCAGGCCCCCCTCGTAGGCTCCCTGAAATGGGAAGAGCTGACAACTTTTCTCCTAAAAGGATGATGAGGTGGCCTAGGGACCCCCATACATGGGGGAAGGAAGGGGTTGGAGCGAGACCTGAGTCTGTGGGATCTGAGGGGCTGGTAAGTAGGAAGCCGCCAGGGACCCACACACACATTTACACACCAGCCACACACACCTCTGTTGCCACGTGCCAGCCTCTTTTTCCCAACACCGGCCAGTTTTCTTAACATTGGCTGTCCCTGCTCACCCCAGTTGCAGGTGCCAATGGGCCTGTGCCCTTAGGGGTAACAACACACATTGCAATGTTCTCACCCCACCCACCAACACCCCACTTGAAGGTTAGGGCACCTGTGCCCACTTAGGCAAAGATTTAGGATGGGCACCTGCAGAAACCCTCACCATAGGTACCCCAAGACCAACCCTAACCCCCCCGGCCCTGCTCACCTGCTCACGAGTCTTGGGGTCCCTCCAGGAACTCCTGCAGTCACCGGTGCCCTCTGCGCCCAGCTGAGCTCACACCCGCTCTAACAGCGCCAGGCTCTCGCTCCTTCGCCCCAGGGGCAACTTGCAAACCCCTGACTCATGCCCCCGCCTCCTAATCTGCCCGCCCATGGGCCACAGGAGCCCCTTCTCACCCCTCCGCCCCACTTCCACTGAGTGCCCTGTAAACAGAGTTATCTCTCACACACATCTGGACAGCTGTGAGTCTGGCCCACCCCACCCGGCCCGCCAGCCCCCAACACCTCTCTCCTGGCCCCCGGGGTTCTCCTGGTCTTCCTCTGTGGACTCCGGTTTGACGGCTGGGTTCTCAGAGCTCCCAGCCTCCTGGCAGGGCTGGCCCAGCCTGTGGACGCCCCTGTCCTGACTCGCTCCATCCTCGGTCTGGCCAGGCCCCTCTGCTCTGGCCTGAGATGCACAGGCGCCTTCTCCTCTCTCCTCTCTCAGCGTCCTCCCTCGGGACGTCCTCTTCCTCGGCAGCCTTGCTGTGGGGACCTGCTCAGTGCTCACAGGGCCCAGGCAGCCCCCTCCCCGTCTTGTTCCAAGTGAGGGGGCCCTGGCTGTCGTCTCCCCAAGACCCTGCTTGGCTCCAAGAGCTGGCCCCTGGGTGCTAAGATGCTGCCACGCAGTCAACCTGAAACAATGTCAGGTCAACAAAACAACCTTCCCCACACAGGAGCTCAGAGCTCACAAAGCCCCAATGTCTGGGCACACTGGCTCCTCTGTCGGCAGCCCGGCCAGAGCAGCCCGCATTCTCGGCCCACGCGGTGCCCTTCCCCACACCCCCCCAGTGGGGCAGTCTCTGCTCCTGGAGGTACTGGGGTTGGCCTCCTAATCCTGGGCTCTGGTTGCTAAAGAGGCAGAGACAGAAAGATGAGTTTAGATCGACAAGAAAGAAGAGAGGTTTGAAAGCAGACAGCCAGGGGTTTTGTGGACACTGCTCCGGGCAGTGAAGACAGGAAGTCCTCCCAGCCCAGCTCTGCCACTGACGGGCTGTGGAGCCCGGGCCAGTGCCTGCCCCTCTCTGTTCTTTAGTCTCCCCATCATAAAGTGGAAGTGCCGGTTCGATGACTGCCAGCTTGGGGGATTCTTCGTTTTATGTTTTTTGTTAATCTTCACCAGAGGATATTTTCCCATTGATTTTTAGAGCGAGTGGAAGGGAGGGGGAGAGACAGAGAGAGAGAGAGACAGACATGGATGTGAGAGAGACACTTCGATTGGTTGCCTCCCGCAGGTGCCCCGACCAGGGCCTGGGATGGAGCCTGCAACGGAGGCATGTGCCCTTGACTGGAATCAAACCCGGGACCCTTCAGTCTGTGGGCCAACACTCTATCCACTGAGCCAAACCAGAGGGCGGGATTCTCTGTTTTAGATCCCAGAAGTAGAGACAGGGACTATGCGATGGGCATATCCAGCAGTTCTACAATCATTTCCTGGGTCTCCACCACCAGCCTGCGCTGCCAAGCCCTGGCGGAGAGGAACGGGCAGGGACTGATGGAGCTGGAACCCTCCTGTTTATGGGGCTTCCGTTCCAGGCACTGTGCTGGGGGCTTCACCTGGTGGTCACACGTAATCCTCCCAGCACCCCCATTTTACAGAGGAAACTAACACAGCAGAGAGGTAAGGTGGCTTCCCAGTGAAAAAAGTGACGGGTACTAGCTCGGAGTTCTCAAGCGTCTCCGAGAAAGGCGCTGTTTGTTATTATTTCCCTCTCACAGGTGAGGACGCACAGCGCGGAGGGGTAGGCGACTGGCCCCAGGCCCCTGGGCTGGTGGAGCCTGAGCTGGAACTCACAACTCGGGGCTTCGTTCTGCCTCATGCGAAGCACTGTGCTCCCTACAGTCACACCGGCCAGGAACAGAGAGGCCCTGCCCAAAGGGGCCCGAGGGATGCTCCTCCTACTCCGGGCTGGTGCTCACTCTCCGGGCTGGTGGCTCAGACGGGGCTGGGCCGCTTCCTGTGGCCTTTGGCAGCGAATGCCAAGTGGCAGCCCTGCCTTCCCACCAGAGCCCAGAAGGCCCAGGCGCACTGCCCCTCTGCCTGGCCCAGGAGCCGAGGGAGAGCTGAGTGCAGGAGGCAGCACTGAGCACCTCTTCCAGGTCCCAGAAAGGAGGGACAGCTGGCCCTTGGGGGTGGGGGGGTGACAAATGGGCACATCTGGATTAGAGCAGAATCTGCCCAGCTGTTCTGCAGGCACCACGCCCGCAGCCCACCAGACGCGCAAGCAGAGCAGAGCAGGCTGACATCTGGTCCTTTCTACTCACGCCGTGTGCTCTGGGTCATTCTTGTTGCCCTGACTGGCTGAGGATGTTTCCCCCAATCTGCCCAACAGCACATGTTGCGTGTTTGTGCTTCTCCAGGAAGAAGCCATGGCTCCTCTCACTCATTTTATTCCAGTTTGGAGTTGGGTCAGTTCAGTTCATCTGAAGGCCCCAGGTGCCTGGCACAGGGCTGGGCGCTGGAGAAACAAGATGAGAGAGGCTTGCCTCCTCTTAGCCATGTCCCTGGGCCTGACATGTCGGAATTCAGCGGGGACCGACCTTGAGAGTGTATCCGCATTGGCCCCCCAGGGCCTCACGCTCTGTCATCCCTTCCCTGAGAGTCCCTCTTGCCACCCTATCCTGCCATTGCCTGAAGCACCAAGCGAGGAGCCTACGGGACCCCTCCTTAAGGTCCATGGGTATGTTGGTCCAAATCTGTGCTCACAGACGTTGGGGAACCAAGGCCAAATGGGATGAGGTAAGCCCAGGGTGGGCCCCCAGGCTGGGCTGACAGAAACCCACCCCGAACAGTGATTTGGTTGCAGCCACATATGATGATATTCTAGACCCCACAGGGAGACACTGTGGGCAGGGAGCCAATAGGGAGTGAGTTCTCCTGAGGGGAGGAGGCTTTCTCATCTTGGATCATCCTGGGGTGCAGGCAGCCCTCGGTGCGAAGTGGAGACTTGGCAATGGGCCTTAGAAGGGGCGGCTGCTTTCCCTCTCTTGGCCTGAAGAAGAGCCGGAGACTCCAGGTGGGAGAGGGGGGTTTCATGGCGATTAGGTGAGCTGTGCCTTGCCATGGGCTTGGCCATGAGGTGTCAGGTGGAGCAATGTGGGCCTGTGACAGCTGGCTTCACTTGGACCCCCTAGAGGAAGGGAGAGGGAGAGAGAGAAACATCAATGATGAGAGAGAATTATTGGTTGGCTGCCTCCTGCATGCCCCACACTGGAGATCAAGCCCACAACCCGGGCATATGCCTGACCTGGAATTGAACCGTGACCTTCTGGTTCACAGGTTGATGCTCAACCGCTGAGCCACGCCGGCCAGGCTCAGAGTGATCTTTTAGAAACAGAAGTCAGAAGACATCACTGCCCTGTATAAATCCTCCATGACTCCCCCACATGTGGAGTGACACCCGTCCCCTATTCTGGGTCACTCCTGCCCTCTGCTCACCTCCCGCCTTCTGTTCCACCGGTGCCATTCCTGCTTGTCTCTCCCCACCCTTCCTACGTGCCCCTCCCAATTCCCCCAGCTGGCTCATTCTCCCTGTCCAGTCTCAGGAAAAATGTTATCCCACAAAAAAAACGCCTCCTTTGACCATCCATTTAGAAATAACCCCAGCCACTCTATCACTGGGAAATCAGGGAGGAATGTGTGGGAGAGAAAACCCCACGCCTTCGTGGCTTAAGCAGGACCGAAGTTTATTTCTCTTTGGTGGAGAAGCCTGGAGAGAGGAGGCCCCAGGCTGGCAATGGTACGCTGCAGTGCCAGGGCCCCTCCCCAGGACCCTCCATCCTGTGGCATCCTTAGCAGGTGGCTTCCTCTTCATGGTCCAATATGGCTGCTTGAGCTTCAGCCGTCACCTCTGCATTCCAGTCAGCAGGAAGGCGAACGGGTTAAAGAAAGATGCGCCCTCTCTAAGAATATTTCTCAAAGGCACGGGAGGGAGCGGGGGTAAGAGATCAACCGAAGGACTTGTATGCATGCATATGAGCATAAGCAAGGGACACAGACATTAGGGGGTGGGGCCTGTGCTGGGGGTGGGGGTGGCCCGGGAGAGGTCAATGGGAGAAAAAGGAGACACATGTAAAACTATATGCAATACTTTAAACAATAAAGAATTTTTGTTGCCTCCGTGTATATCCTATTAGTCAGAACTTAGTCACATGGCTACACTTAGCTTCAAGGGAGCCTGGGAAATGTAGTCTTTATTCTGGGAAGCCATGGGTCCAGAGTTCTAGTACACAGGAAGAAGCGGAGAATGGAAATGAGAGGACGCCCGTCATCTCAGCCGGAATCATTCATAGCACCAATCCTCTTCTTCTTCCTACCAGAAGATAGTTTCCTGTTTATCTGTTTATTTATTTATTATGATCTTTCTCCACTAAATGTAAACTCCGCAAGGGCAAGCTCTTTGCTAGCCTTGTCCATCACTGTGTCTCCAGCGCCTTCCACAGCACCTGGCACAAGGTAGGCTTTTCATTTTGACTAAATGAATGATTGAATGATCCCCCATAAGAATTACTTGAGGGATGCATTCTCATTCCCATTTTGCAGGTTGGGAAAATGCGGCTCAGAGAGGTTAAGTAACTCCCCTAAGGTCGCACAGTGGGCAGTAGGGCCAATATTCAATCCTTACTCTTTGTGGCACCAACGCTCTTTCAACTCTTTTCACCTCACATGCTGGCTCTTCTGGTCTCTCTGCTCCTCCATAGATCAAGTTAGAAGCCAGGAAACTATCACCGGAGTTTATTACTGCCGTTTCCCTGGGAAATTCACCTCAGGTTTTCACTTATGTTAGTTGCTGGGGTCCAACCCCAGCAGGTCCAGGGGTCCCCAAAGGTGTGGACGGAGTCGGCGAAGAAGGAATGACACGGAGACAGCCTTCAGTTGATCAGCAGCCTAGTCAGGACCTCTAGCCAGGATCTCCAGCCAAGTTCTGGTCGGGATCTCCACCGAAGTTCTGGTTAGGATCTGATTAGGAACTGATGTTTATTGTCTTGTTACATCTATATTTATACCAGCCGATTTTAATCCTGTCAATTTCTATTACAAAGGTTAGGGCGTTTCTTATCTCCATTCCAGGGAGTAAAGATTATGTAGCTTAACTACCTGCCTGGCACTTAATTAAGGGGTTGTATCCCCTCCCTAACCTCAGGGAAAAATCCCTACCTGGGGAAACAACCTTTCTCGGAGAGGTGACCTTGGTTAAAACACATGGTGCTTAAGGAGAGCAAACATATTAAGAACAATATGCTATATATGCCAGGTCCCTTGAAACATATGCTGTGCAGATGTTTCTTTCCTGCAGCGACTGTGTCAAGCAGCAAGGATGGACCGGCTTCCGGCAGTTAGTTTGCCTTTAGCTTCTAATGGGATCAACGTAAGAAAGGGTTGTTTTGGACAAGTTTCCGTAACCTTTCTGCAAACCATTAGGTAAAGATGTTACATAGAATCCATGAAATAAATTCCTCCTGGAATTAAGCACTAGGATGAAGTCTGGAGCTTCGGGTGAACGGATAGGTTCTTTGTTTCAGACGAGAGAGGACTACCTACCTCATCAGGTTTTCCTTTTTACCTTCGCTGCCAGGAAACTTGGAGTTTGAATTTAAGTGCCCAGAGGCAGCCCCACCCAACCTCTGGAGAAGCGCCCTAGTGGACAGACTGTGTGTGATTTGGAACCAGGTAGCCTGACCTTGAGTTTCAGCCAATGCTCTGTGAGCAAGACAGATAAACTTCCCTGAACCTTAGATCCGTGGTCGTAAACTCAAAGCTGTTAGAAGGATTAAATGAGCTAATACATGGGAAAACTCTCTAGTAATGACTAGATGATGAAGAAATGGTCAGGGAACACTCAGCTAGCCACGGCTAAGCTGCAGCTTCTCAGGCCCCAGGAGTTCTCCCATAAGAGAATGAAGCAGTCAGGGAAGGCTTCAAGGAGGAGGTGTTTTGAAACACAGGTGGAATCCTCTGGTGTAGAGCATTCGACTGTATTATCCCTGTAGCCTGCAGTGCTAACCCCTGAGGTCCCTTTCAGTTTTCAACCCAGCCCTGCCTCCGTCAGTCCACCCTTTTTGGTACTATCTCATCCATCACTAACCCCACTGTCTAGCTGCTGTCTCCGGGGATAAAATACAGCCACAGGTGGAGAGAGCAGCTCACAAGTCCAGAGAGAGCAAGGTTTCCAAGTGAGGAAGCGTTTAGTCTTGGAAGGAGCCCCAGCCCAGGGCAGGAGGCTGAAATCTAGGCCTCATCTCTTCCCCATTAACTAGCCACCTCTGGCCCTCTGCTTCCTCATCCGTACAAAAAGGCTTAATCAGCAGGGCACGAAGACCACCCGCAATAAGGTAAACTGTCTTTGCTTACAGGCTGCTCTTGGTTAATCCTCACAAAACTGGAAGAAAGGGGGACACAATACATGATGTGACCTCCCAGAGGTCACGCCACGCATAAGCAGGGGAGCTGGGACAGGATTCCCGTGCTAGCAGCCAGGGTACAAAGCTTAGGATGGGGGCAGGGAGGGAAAACTTTCCAGGAAATGGCTCTTCCCGGGTCAGTGACAGTTGGAGGTCAAATTGGTCTGAGGGAGCCAGGCCCACGTGGGACTCTGGGCTGGGCTGCAGCAGACCGGAGAGCCACAGCCCGCTGGCCCGCCCAAGGCCCGGGGCCTGGGATGGACAGGCTGGGACAGCCCCGTGTTCCGCACCACTCACTGCCCGCTGCTGCTCCCGTCTGCCCACCTGGACCCAGGTGCGCTGGACACAGGTCAGCACGAGAGAGCTCTTCACCTGAAAGGCCCCGTGGGGAGGGAGAGACCCTTCGGGGGTGGAGAGGTGAACCCTGGTGGGTGGGACTGCAGGACGAGGACCCTCACCGGGGCCTCTGTGTGCGGACCTGCGGTGAGAGTCCCCTGTCCCACAGTCGGTAGGGCACGGAGGGGACCATGCTCCCGAGCCAGGAGCCCACTGATTCTGCACTCCCCACCCCACCCCCAGCTGCTCCTGGCTGCCTCTAGGTAAAGTCCAAATTCCTCCTGCTGACCTAGTTTCTGCCAACCCCTCGTCCTGGCCTCCTGGCTGTGAACTTGATCCCAGGCCCTGACCTACTGGTCCTAGTGTCCCTGCTCTCCCTTCACCTGGTTAAATGTTTGAAATCGAGCCCAGTCCCTTCTCTAGCCCAGCCACCCAGCTCTCCTCTCCTCCCCTCTCCTCTCCTCCCCCTCTCCCCCTTCCACTCTGTCTAAACATCAATGGAAAGAATATCAGCTAATGTGGCAGGGTCTTCTCATCTGGAGGAGGAAGAGTGAGGCTCTCCTCTCCTCTTCCCTCCCTTCCTTTCTCCCTTCCCCTCCTCTCCTCTTCTGTCCCCTCCCCCTCCTCCCCTCTCCTCTCCAGGTCCTCCTCCACCACATATTCCTCCCTTCCTGAGGCCCCATCTCTGACCCCAGCACCCTCTGCTTTCAGGGTGAGCCTGCACCAAGTAGGAGCTAGAACTAGGCATAGCAGGGGCTGACCTTGGATTCGCCAAGCTGTCAGCCACCCCTGGAAGCTGGCTGTGTGTCCCTTCCCTCCCTTCCATGCCTGACCCTTTGAACCCTGGAGCGATTGCTCTGGCTGAGGGCTGAGGGGGGGAGCCCCAGGCAGTTCCTCTGGGCTCGGAGGGCCATGATGCCAGGAGCCATGGTGGGGGTGTAGGTTGTGTCTAGAAGGGTGCCCTCTGGACCTCTGGCAACAGGCCCTGTGTGAGGGGAACCCCAGCTTAAGGAGGGGTCTCCCCCAGCCACCCTCTCCTGTGCACTTCATTTAAAGCCACTAAGTGCTGATGAAATATGCACCACTGCAACTGTGGCTCCACATCACACCATCACAGTAAGACAGTGGACCCATGGGAAATGCGGGGCTTAGGGGCTCTGAGCCCCACACAGTCAGAAATCCTTGTGTGACTTTTGGCTCCTCAAACGTAACTATGGTTGTCCCTCAGTATCAACAGGGATTAGTTCCAGGCCCCTCTCAGATACCAAAATCCGTGGATGCTCAAGTCCCTTATATAAAATAACACAGAACAATGCATTCCGTAGGCCCTCAGCATTCACAGATTCCCAGCTGGGGATCCAAAATACAGTTTTCCCCAGTGAGTTGAATCAGCAGATGCAAAGCCCAAGGATACAGATGGCTGGACGGCCCAATATGTATTTATTGGAAAAAAATCTGTGTGTAAGTGGGTCCATGTAGCTCAAACCTGTGTTGCTGGAGAGTTAACTACAATGGACTGGAGCACCAGCTCCCTGGGCTGGGCCTGGGCGGTGATTAAAGGGGGAGAAGGAGGAGGGGAGGGGTCAAGGGCATGGGAGCCTGATGTGTCCCTGTGGCCAGACAGCTGCTGGTGTGCCCCAGGGACGGGAGGATGGGAGGATCTGCTTCCCTCCTCCCTCTGTCTTGCCCCGGGCTTGCCTCTCTCCTGCATCCCTGGAGATTTCTCTCTGACTCCTCTCAGGGAAGGTGGGTCTCCCTGTTAGTCTGGGCCTCCCCTCACAGCCCACGAGGGCCCCGTCCCTCCATCCCTCCTGACGGAGGGTACAGATGGTCCCCCAGGAAAGGGCCAGGCCTGACTTGAGGGACGGGAACAGCTCCGTCCCTCCTATCTGCTGAGCCAGATGTTTGGGGCCTCTGCCTGACAGCTGATGGCAGGGTCTGTCTGAGGCCTGGGCCTATGGGTGTGCTCCCCACTGTGCACTGTGAGTGTGTGTGTGCGTGTGTGTGTGTGTGAAGGAGAGTTGTGGTTAAGCTAATGGCTTTGGAATCAAACCAATTGGGTCTGGCCTCGTACTGGCTGTGTGACCTTGAGTAAGTTCCCTGATGTCTTTAAAGTCTTAGATTCTTCATCCATAACATCCGTCCTCCAAGAGGTGCTGCCCGTGGAATGAGATATTGTGCAGGAAGCCCTTAGCCCAGCTCCAGGCACATAGTAAAGTTTGGTAAATAGTAGCCATTGCCACAGTTAGCAGAAAACCCCAATCAGCACGCGGTCTCTTGAGGGGGGTCCTCCATATGCTGGACCCTGAGGTTCTGATGCTCCCATCAGGTGCGGGTAGAGGCCCAAAGGCCTGGCTGATGGGGAAGGGAAGGAGCAAGGCCTCTGGGGCCCAAACCCCTGAGCTTCCCCTCCTCTGTGGACTATCCCAATTGGGGACCTTGAGCTGCTCACACCCAATCCCAGCAGGAAAGCTGAGGTCTGAGGAGACCTCTATCCCTCCCTTGTGCCTCTGCTCCCTGAGGGGGAGGCCAACCAGACTCCAGCTGACTCAGCTCAGTAACTCAGCTGTCCCTCCAAGAGCCTGGGGGAGGGAAGGGAGTCCCCAGTCCAGGTTCTCGGACCACGCCTTGTTTCCTTTCGAATAGACCTGGTGCGGCCAATCAGGACCCGGAGCCTCAGCTCGGCCCCAGGACTGGTTCATTTCAATTGGTGCCTGGCCAGTGGTGCCGAAGGGGCCCTGGGTGGGGTGGGGTGGGGAGTAGGGAGTGGTTTCTGCAGGGCCCAGGCCCCTATCTCAGGTTCCAGTGCTGTCAGCTGGGAGGTGTGGGAGGAGACAACATTAACCCATCTCACTTTGCAGAAAAAAAATACTGGGTCTGATATCTTTTGGGTAAGGGGAGGAAATGGGGTTTCCTAAGGCTCAACTCTGAGAAGATGGGGGAGTTAGCTCCTGTATCCATTCAAGCGCGTCCACAGCATTTATTTTGCACCGACTAATGTGTCCGCCGGCGCTGTGCTCGGTGGTTGGGGACACAGAAGCCGGAAACCCAGGCGGAGGGGCCTGCAGGCTCCCAGTCTGGGAGAGCAAACACTGGGGCTCTGGGACTGTGCAGAGAAAGGCAGCCCACGACCCCCGGGGGCCTCATGCACCAAGTCACAGTCATTTTGGCCAATAAACCCCAGAGTGAGCGGGGATTCCCTCCCGTGACTCAGCAAAAAGGTGAAGAGAAGCACTCGAAGCGCTGTAGCAGGTGGGTGCGTGAAGGTTGGAGCCGGCAGCGTGGTGGGTCCCGCCATCCCTCCTCCATCTTGGACGGAAAGGCCTGGAGGGCGGATGCCAAGAGGGATTGCCGGGACCTGTCACATATAGGCCCCCCCATCCTTCTGCCTCATCGACGCAGCAAATCCCCAAACCTTGCGTGCCCTCACCGTGAGCGCGTCCTCACACCCGGGACTCTCCAGCTGGATCACATGTGGCACTTTGGGGAAATAAGTGCACTTATTTCCAAGTAGAAACAACTCCATTCACAGGAGTTAAGACTCCCAGGATGGTAGCGGCTTCTGTGTCCTGGGGTAGCAAAAAGCCTTTCGGAGATGTCAGGGCAGGGCTCCTGTCTGAGCATCAGGAAGAGAAGGACAATTGGGCAAACCTGCGATTAGACAGCCGTGAAAAGCAGCAGGAGACACAGCAGGATGCCCAGGGTCACAGATGCTTCTGGCCACGGGCAGGCCTCCGAATGAGAAGTAGACATCCTTGCCCTGCCAGTTTGGCTCAGTGGATAGAGCATCGGCCTCTGGACTGAAGGGTCCCAGGTTCGATTCCAGTCAAGGGCACATGCCCAGGTTGCGGGCTCAGTCCCCAGTGTGGGGCGTGCAGGAGGCAGCCAATCAAGGATTCTCTCTCATCATTGATGTTTCTCTCTCTCTCTCTCTCTCTCTCTCTCTCTCTCTCTCTCTCCCTTCCTCTCTGAAATCAATAAAAAAATATATATTTTTTTAAAAAATAGCAGAGACAGGAGAGATACTTCTACATGGTGGCTTTAAGTTCTCTCTCCTCATTGCAAAGAAGCCCCCGCTTGCCTAATAACCAGACAAAATACATTCGGAAATAATTTTACTTGTGTATGTTTTGCCAATTGCTTGAGGTGTTTAAAGTGTTCAGAAGAATCAGCCATTTTCTTTTTTTTTAAAATATATTTTATTGATTTTTTTACAGAGAGGAGGGAGAAGGATAGAGAGTTAGAAACATGGATGAGAGAGAAACATTGATCAGCTGCCTCCTGCACACTCCCTACTGAGGATGTGCCCACAACCAAGGTACATGCCCTTGGCCAGAATCGAACCTGGGACCCTTGAGTCTGCGGGCCGACACTCTATCCACAGAGCCAAACCGGTTAGGGCAGAATCAGCCATTTTCATTACAGTGCTTATCTGTGGTAGAGTCTTCGTGGCCCAGGGGACCGAGTGTGGCCTTGGGCCAGGCCCTTCACCTCTCTGGGCTTCAGTCTCCTCGGAGGTAAAATGGAAACCAGGTGAGAATAATAGTAGCTTCTGCCCGGCTGGCGTGGCTCAGTGGTTGAGTGTCGACCTAGGAACCAGGAGGTCGAGGTTCGACTCCCAGTCCGGGTTGTGGGATCATTATTGATGTTTCTGTCTCTCCCTCTCCTTTTTTCTCTCTGAAAATCAATAAAAAACATTTGTATTTAGACCTTGCAATCAAAGGAGGGACGTAGGTGGGTTATATGAAATTCATTGATGATAGATTAAGGAGGAGGGATAAAGCAAAGGAGGGGGGAGGGGAACCCCTGGGATTGGATAAAAAGTAAAAGGATGGACACATACTTAGGTGAGTGCAGGAACAATTAACACGATAATGAAGGAATCTGTGGTATCTGTCCTGGCGCCCAGCACATTTGGTTGTGCCTCAGGGGCTGCAGAAAAAGGGAAGTTACAAGTTACCCAGACATTTCAAGAGTATGTTATTATAGATGCAAAAAGACAGATAGGCTCAGTTAAGGTAAAGGTTGACCTTGTCAGTGTAGATACTGGCCTAGGACGTAACTGCCCACCATAACTGCTTTTCCTTAAAGTTTCATTTCAGACCATCTTTTGTGGTGACTTTAGGTCTCTGAGTCTGCAAGACCGCCATGCAGGCCTCCCCTGAGCTTGTCAGGTCAGCATGTGGCCCCTTTCGTCCACACTTGGTGAATATCAGAGAGATGTTGATTGTTTAAAGTAATAGCACTTATTCAATAGATTCAGAAGCTTAATAAACTGAACATGAAACCAACTTCAGGTAGGAGAGGATTTTTCTCTAACAGGGAAGGCCCTTGGACTGAAAATTTTAATAAATCACCTCTCCTCCCCCACCTCCTGTAAACTTGTTTGTAGTGACACCACCCGTCCTCCAGGGGCTCAGGCTGTTCGGTGTGACTCCTACCTCTCTGAGCACCCTGCCCCCACCAACACCATACACCACTTCCGGTCTTCCTCCTTCAGTCCTCCCAAAACTCTCTCCCTCTTCTCGCTCCTTCCCTACTGCTCTGATGAGCACAAGCCTATCCCATTAAAATAACCAGTCTTCCCTAAACCTTATGGCAATCGCTCTGCTCTCCCCACAGCTCAACTCCTCAATGAATAGGACTCTCTCCTCTTTCTCCCTCCCATTCCCTCCTCTACTCAAGGCAGCCCGCCTTCCCCCCCACCTCCCCTTCCACTAATAGCGTATTCGTTGCCAAATCTATTGGACACTCCCCAGCTCCTCAGCTGGATTTCTCTGTTGGATTTCACACAGGCAGCCTCTCCCTTCTTGGAAATGTCTGCTCTCAGTTCCCCTCCTAACTCTCTAATGGTTTCTTTTCTATCTTCTTGGCTGGCTCATCTTTCTCCTATCGCTTCTGGCCATGTTGGTGCTCCCCTAAGTTTGTCTTTTCTGAGCTATCTTCTCTCTCCACTCTGCAGACTCTTGTAACTTGGCCCTCTTCCAAGGTGCTCTTATCTCAGCCAATGACACCCTGGCCCACCCATTGCTCAAGCCATAAACCTGGGAGTGACTGAAAACCTTCCACCTTATCTGTCCAGTCACCAAGGAGCCATACATTCACTTCCCTGTAACCAACAAATTTTTAAAACCCCAAATCAGAACCTGTCACTCCTTGCTTATATTCAAATGCTAATGTTCCAATCCCATAAACTCTAATTTTGAGTTTCATTCTTTCTCTTCATTCCCTCCACTTATATACTAACCTAGTAGTCTATAAATATGCATATGCATGTAGTTCTTGTATGATTTGCACAGGACTTGGCACATAGTAGGTGCTCGATAAATGTTTGCTGAATGTGTGCATACTAAAAGGTAAACGTAAGAAGATGAGGAAATACATCACATGCAGTTCCCAATGGCCAAAGCGAAGTGGAATACCAAGTAGAAAAAGAGCTCCAGAAATATGTATCAGAGTGTCCTTGAGACTTGTTTAATACTAAGCCATGCATGAGAAGGTGAAGCTCCACACATCTGAGTCAGTGGTGTTCTGTAAACTAAACAATTCCAAGAGCTTACAGAAGGCTAGTATACAGCCAAGCTTTGACCACCCAGAGTGGACAATCTTTGTTGAAAATACCTATGGCTTGCCCTGGCTTGAGTTGCTCAGTGGTTAGAGCGTTGCCTGCACACCAAAGGGTTTTGGTTTCGATTCCTGGCCAGGGGCACATGCCTGGGTTGTAGATTTGACCCCTGACCCTGGTTGGGGCACATGTGGGAGGCAACCAATCGATGTGTCACATTGATGTTTCTCTCTCTTTCCTCTCACTCTCTTTCTCTCTCCCCTCCCTTCTCCCTCCCACTTTCTCTAAATATCAGTGGAAAATTGTCCTCAGGTGAGGATTAACAACACCAAAAAATACCCAGGGCACTCAGTAGAGACCTCAGAAAGTAATAAGTTAGTAGTAGGGCTATTTTAGCCTTAGAATAAAGGCAAATTTAGATCTTTCCTGACACCTAAGAAAAATAAACCTCAAATGAATTGTTTATTATGAATAAGTTGACTAATTGCCTGTTAGAACAAAGTCCAGCATTTTGGAAAACAAAAAAATCCAGTACCTTGATCCTTATGGCAAGTCACAGTTTGGGAGAAAAAGTTTGCAATGCACATAATCCAAAAATGTCTTATTTTGTTATCTTACCTAATAATAGACAAACATGTAAATTGACCGTCCCTCCGCTATGCTCACCAGCCAATCAGGAGAGTATGCAAATTAACACAACAAAGATGAAGGTTAATTTGCATACATATGCTCAAAGTGGCAGAGCGAAGACTGAAGGCTCCGGCGGGAGCAGCGAAGGCCTGGGTCCTGGGTGCCAGAGGAAAACCGGTGCCGGCAGCCAGGGGAAGGGAAGGCCTATTGCACGAATCTCTTCGTGCAACGGGCGTCTAGTATTTAATAAAAGACTTGTATCTAGAATATATAAAGAACTCCTGCAACTCAATGATGAAAAAGACAAACAACTCAATAAAAAATTTTCCAAAAGCCTTGAACACCACTTCACAGAAGAAAATATACAAGTGGTTAACAAGCTCAGGAAAAAGGTCAACATTATTAGTTCACAGTGAGATATCATCACATACCCATTAAATGGCTAAAATGCAAAAAGACTGAACATACCAAGTGTTGGAAAGGAGATGGAGCACTGGAAATCTGACACATTTGTACATTGAACAAATGGTACAAGCACTTTGGAGAACAGGCAGTTTCTTAAAAAGTTAAGCATATACTTATACTATGATTCATTCATTCATTCTTAGATATTTACCCAAGGGAAAATTAAGTATATGTCCACAAAAACATTGAGTGAAAATGTTTATGGGAAATTTTAAAAATTGATTAGTTGAGAGAAAGAGAGAGAGAGAAGCATCTATGTGAGAGTGCAACATGGATTGGCTGCCTCCTGCATGCCCCCTATAGGGACTTGAACCCACAACCCAATCATGTGTTTTGGCAACCTTTACAATGAAAGAAGACAGGCATCATAGTACAGCCTATATGATTCCATTTAGATGAAATTCTTAAAAAGACTGGTCTACAGTGACAGAAAGTAGATATATGGTTGCCTGGAGTCCGAGGTGGGGCTAGGGATTGACTGGGAAGAGGCACAAAGGACTCTGTTGGTGATGGAAACATTCCCTACCTTGATTGTGTGTGGATACATTTGTCAAAATTCCTTGACCTGTACAATGAACATGGATGCATTTATTGTGTGTGAATTGTACTTTATTATGTTGAAGTTTCAAAATGAAGGAACAAAGAGATAGTCAAAATAAAGACAGAAATAAATAAATAGAATACCTGAATCATCTGCAATAAAAGAAATTGAATCAGTAGTCAAAGATATTCCTACAAAGTAAGTTCCATGACCATATAGCTTCATCATTAAATTTAATCACATATTCCAAACATTCAAAAATTATTCCAAGATATAGAAAAAGGGAGGATACTCCTTAACGTGTTTAACAACATAATATTTTGTTAATCTTTATTGTTAAAAGTATTATATATGTCCCTCTTCCTCTCCCAACAACATAATCTTATACCAAAACCTGGCATGGGTAGTACAAGAACAGAAAATAACAGATCCATCTCACTCATGAACATAAATTTTAAAATCCTAAATAAACAAAACATTAGCAAACTGAAACCAGTAACATATAAAAAAGGTAATACATCATGACCCAATTGAGTTATTCAGAAATGAAGTTTGATAACATTAGAAAAATCGATTCATGTAATCATCCACGTGAACATGAGTAAAAAATAAAAACCATATATTGATCTCAAAAACAGAAAAAGCATTTGATAAAATTTACCATTGTTAATAATGTACACTTTGAGCAAACTAAGAATAGAAGAGAACTTCTATAACCTGATAAAGGATATCTATATAAAACCTCTAGCAAACATCATACTTAATATTGAAGTTTTTTCCTTCTGAGATCAGAAGCAGGACAAGGATGCTTGATTTGGTGAGGAGGAAACAAATGAACTAATTGTGTAGCAAGAAAATCCAAAAGAAGCTATAGATAAATTATTTCAATTTATAGAAGTGTTGGATACATTCGCAAAATCAACTTAAAGGTTAATTGCACAAAGACAAACAATTCAATTGAAAAATGGTCAAAGGACTTGAATAGACATTTCTCCAAAGAAGATATACAAATGGCCAATAAATACATGAAAATGCTCATCATTAGTCATTAGGAAAATGCACATCAAAACCACAAAGAGAAACCCCTTTGCATGTATTAGCATGGCTATCATAAAAAAACACACACACAAAATAGCAAGTGTCCAAGAGGCTGTGGAGAAACTCGAACACCCGTACATTACTGATGAGAATGCAAAATGGTTCAGCCACTGTAGAAACAGTTTTACGTTCCTTAAAATGTTAAGCAAAGAATTACCATGTGACACAGCAACTCAAGAGAATTGAAAACATAGATTTAAACAGATACTTGTACACAAATATTCATAACAGTATAATGAAGGGTGATGAAAATGTTTTGGAAATGGACAGTGGTGATGGCTGTGCAGCATTGTGAATGTAATGAATGCCACTGAATTGTACACTTAAAAATGGTTAAGATGGCAAATTTTATGTTATATAAATTTTAACACAAGAAGCAATCAATTGCTTATCTATATCAGCAACAGTTACAAAATAAATTTTTAACAAGGTACCTTTTAAAATAGCACAAAACATATCAATAACCTAGGATGCATCTAACAAAATATGAATAAGACTTCTTTGGAGAAACTGATATAATTTTGATAAATTTGAAACACAAGGTAAATTAAAAGAGAGATATATGTACTGTACTGACAGGAAGACTCTGGATTACAAAGATGTCAATTCCATCCAAACTGAGCTCTAAATTCAATGCAATCATAATTGCAATATAAATCCTACTAAGTTTAATTGGGTTTTATTGCATTTGTAAAGTTAATTTTAACATTATTATAGAAATGCAGGGGGCCAAGAAGAAAACAAGCCACTCGTGAAGAAGATAAGATGGGAGGACTTGCCTTACCGGTCACCAAGACATTATAAAGTTTTAATGATTTAGACATTAAAACCAAGAGACACTGGAGCAAAATATAGAGCTGAGAAACAGACCCACACTTGTATGGATACTTGATGTGAGAGAGATGGCACTTCAAAGCGGTGGGAAGAGGCCTTTAAAAAAACAAACAAATGGTGTTGGATCAAAATGAACTTGGACACCCATCCTATGCCATACACAAAATTTAGTTCAAGTGAATTATAGGCTTTAAAGTAAAATAACAGTATAAAACTCTTGTATGGTAACATAAAAAAATACACCTTAACCTCAAGTTAGAAAAGATTTCTTACTAAATAGGAGACAAAAAACATCTATTATTAAAAATGATATTTCATTATATTAAAATTAAGAATTTTTGTTCATGAAACATCTATTATTAAAAATGGATACATTTCATTATATTAAAATTAAGAATTTTTGTTCATGAAAAGATACAATAAAGAGAACCAAATGGCAAGTCACAGAATGTGCGGAGCTATTTGTAGGACATATAAGTAACAAAAGGCACAAAGCAGCTAAAAAACAGTCCAAGAGAAAATGAGCAAAATGCTTTGAATAGGAACTTCATAGTAGAGAAAACCCAAATGACTAATAAGCGTGTGAAAAGAATACTCAATTTCATTAACAAACATGGAAATGCCAACTAAAATGCAATGTATACGTAACAACAGTATTCAAAGTCAGAGAGAGGAAGTGGAAGTGTACTTTTGTAAGATTCTTTTTTCTTCACCAAATGAATAGCCACATCCTAAATGTCAGGGGTACGCGGATCTGTTTTAGGAAAACTGTCGCATCATCTGGCACAGCAGTTAAACTGGGGCCACCTGGGGCTACTGCTTTGTCATGTCCACCATTATCTGGTTGTTGTCAAGGGCCAGATTGATGAGTTAAATGGAGACATCACAGGGACCACCACTCCTGCATCCTTTGTGGTCTATAATCACTATCATTCTACCTGGCATGGGGTATTCCTTCTGATGTACTATCTAGGCAAGGGTAGGGAGCCGTCTCCACTTCTCACTCCCTACTCTAACGGCTCTTATTTTAGGAAACCAATGTGAGAGTTCTGCTAGCTGTTAAGTACTATACTCTATTCCCCGTTATGGATTCAGGGACCAGGGAAATAATCACCAGGTGAATAAGTGGACCTATTACACCCACCGTGGGATGAACCTGGCCAGGTCTCCTTTTATCGCCTGGCCTGTGTATGTCCTATTCTAATATGTGTTCTTTTTAACATTTTTAAAAAATTAATTTGAGCCCTGACCGGTTTGGCTCAGCGGATAGAGCGTCGGTTCTTTTTAACATTTTTTTAAAAATTAATTTGAGAGATAGATAGAAATGTCGACTTGTTGTTCCACATACTTATGCATTCATTGGTTGATTCTTGTAGGTCTCCTGCCTGAGGATCAAACCTGCTACCGTGGAGCATTGGGATGACACTGATCAATTGAGCTACCTGTCCAGGGCTCTCATATGTGTTCTTAATGGCATTTTGGTCCCCTAGTATCAGAGTCAGCTCAGACCCTGTATCCAAAGTCTTGAAAGCTCTGGGTATTCCCTTTTCCTCAGGGTACAGTTGCTCAGATAAATGGCTGTGAGTACCTTTGGGGGAAGAGTGAGATAATTATCCTATATAAGTAGGAGCTAATATGCTAATTAGACCGAACAGCAGAACAACCGTCTGGATGACCTTCCGGACAAAGCTGCGGCTGTGAGGGCCGAGCCCCTTGCACGAGTTTCGTGCATCGGGCCTCTAGTTATGATATAAGCTTCTGTGGCATTGCAAGATTTTTCCTGAAGGAAACTGGCCTCCCCTTCGATCAATGGGCTCTGCAGCCAAAAATGCTTTGAGTCTGGAAATTGGGGAGGGATCATGATTTTCCTTTGCAGTGGGTGACATCAGCCTCCTGCTAACTCCTTCTTGCTCACTTTTAGCTATGTAAGTCATGAAATGCCATCATTGGCTGTCCACCTACCTAGAAAGACCATGGTCTATTGGCCATCGCACTGCATCCCAGCTTGCCATTTGGTCCTTGTGCCCATTACAGTAATTATGTCCGCCTTGACTCTGAAGACTAAGTACTGTAACCTGGCCTCATTCTGAGCTCCTGTCATACCCACTGACTCTAGGAAGCCAAGTTCCATATCAGCTTCTGCTACTATCAACAAGGAAGGAGGTTACTATCTGGGGTGGCTGATCTCAAATACCAAGGACAAACTGGGTGCTACACAATGAAGTTAGGGAGCACTATGTCTGGGACCCGTGGAATTCCCCAATGTGCCTCTTCCTGCTTCCATGTCCTATAGTAAAAGTTAAAGAAAAATGGTAGCAATTCAATTCTGAGGATTTAGAGTCTTCAAAAATGAAGGTTTGGCCCTGGCTGGTGTGGGTCAGTGGTTGGAGCATTGGCCCACGCACTAAAGGGTCGTGGGTTCGGTTCCTGATCAAGGGCACATGTCTGGGTGGCAGGTTGAATCCCCAACCCTGGTTAGGGTGCATGCAGGAGGCAACCAATTGATGTGTCTCTCTCACATCGATGTTTCTCTCTCCCTCCCTCCCTCCTTCCTTTCTACTCTCTCTCTCTAAAAAAAAGAAAAAAGAATGAAGGTTTGGTCACCTGGCCTGGTTAAAAAACAAACTGAAGTGCCCTTTTAGGGCAAAGTGAAAATAAAATGAGTAATGGAAGAGGAAAGTTATAAATATCAACTTCTGACAAGTTTCAGAAATAATTATTGCAGAAGCTATGTGTATTTTCTTTCTTGCTTGTTTTGTACCATATACTCTATATATTAATTTCCCCATCCTTTCTTTCCCTTATTATTTTATGTAAGGATTTTTGTTGGTAGTAAACTTTATAATTTAGTCTTTATGTTTACAGAATCCTCTAGAGGAAATGTGGCTGAACTACTAGCAGGAGAGGTATTAACATCACCCAGAGATGACTGACTACTGTTACTGGAGAGACTGCATCTCCACTTTATTTTATTAATATTTTTATTGATTTCAGAGAGCAAGATCAATGAGGAGAGAGGATCATTGATTGGCTGCCTCCTGCACACCCCACACTGGGGATGGAGCCCACAACCTGGGCATGTGCCCTGGCAGTGATTCGAACCATGACCTCCTGGTTCATAGACCTACGCTCTCCGCTGAGCCACAACGGGTCGGGCTGTCAATATTCTTTAAACTGCACATTAGTGTTTTGTATGCTCTTTTGTGCATAATATATATCTTGAATTGAAAAACAAAAGAACATCATTATTGCCAGCGGCTATGAGCCTGAAGGCAGGAGGATGCTGGGAAGAGCTTCTAGAGATGAGGCCAGAGGGAAAAGGCAAAAGAGGGACAGAAAAGACCAAGTCTAAGGTCCCAGAAGCCAAGAACTGAGGCTGAGTGAACTCAGATCTGAGCCAGCGGTCAGGACCTGCTCCCCAGCCCCAAGGGAGCCAGAGCAGCGTGGGGAACTTCGCATCTCCTCCTCCTGTTGGCGCTGGCAGAGGACGCCTGCTTGCTGGTCATACTCAGATATGGGTGCACATCTCAATCAATGTGGAGCTGTTGATCATCGACTAGCAGAGTAGAACAAATCCAGTAATTAGGTAGAGCTGGTGCACACATATGAGCTGAACCCTGGGATGGACATTCCTGAGGCCAGATGGGGAAGTTGGGTGAACCCCTTTAACCAACACAGAAAGGCTTTCTGTGGAAGCTGGAGATTCAGTGGGTGAAAAAGAACAGGTTGAGTGGGGAATGACGCAGGTGGGAGGAGGGATATAAGAGAACAACTGGGAGGTAAAGGGCAGCGGGAAGCCAGACTGTGCCTCCATCTCCCCCACCTTCCTGAAAAAGAGGCAACCAGCTTTTCGGGGACCTTCTCAGCGCTGCAGAGAGGGTTGGTGGCACCATGCAACAATGTTGGCAGCCAAGAGGTTAACCGAAAGCCAGATGCCCCTAGGGTGGTGCGAGGGGGTAGGGCTGCGAGGGGAAGCAGTGCCGTGGCTGCACCCCTCCAGTTGCCTCGAGACTACTGTGGGCACCAGCTGGATTGCTGGGAATCCCCACAAACCCCAGGCCCCCAGCTGTCAGTCTGCTCTCCACGCAGCCCTGAGCGGTTCTGGGCTCTGGGCTCCTGCGGCTGATGGTGAATTCCCATCCCCCGCCCCGGGAGCAGTGGACTCCGCGGGCTGGCGCAGCCAAGTGGAGCCTGGACGGATGCGTAGTCTCTCTGACTGCTCCTTGGCCTCCTGAGTCAGCGGTGTAGGGCCTGCGCTCTCTGCACACAGACCTGGCCCAGGTCTTGTTAAGATACTGAAGGGAATGGAGGTGCTGGGATGAGGGTACAGCAGGTGAGGACCTCCATTACCCAGGGTGAAATCTGAGCTAGAACCACTGACCACAGGTCAGACACTGGAGAGTAGAGGAGCTGGAGCTCAGAGATGTAAGACGAGGGGTCCTGGGCTCTGGATATGGGGGTGGGGGTCAGGCCAGATACCCCCTCTTACTCCTTCCAATCGCTGCCTCTTCCAGGGACCCCCTCCGCCCTCCCGGAGGTCCTGGTCCTCTCCCCGCCCCCACGAAATCCAGCTTCCTCTTCGGATTGGTCCCTGGCCTGCCGGGGGGCGGAGTCCAAGGGCCGTGACGTCACTGGCGGGGGGGGCGCAGACGGCTAGAGGAGGGGGTGACGGGCCCCGGCTCAGCACCTCGGAGAGCTCCCTCCCCGGCCTTGTTTTGCTCCCAATCGCCGCCTGGGGAGGGAGCCTAGGGGCCGGCACCCGCGCAGTAGCAGGGGGATGGCCGTAGAGGGGTCGAGGGGCCCCGATGGGCAGAAGGCCCAGCCGTGATCCGGCGGGGAGGCCGGGGTGCAGGGCGGGGTAAGGGGCAGCTGGCAGCGGCAGCAGGGGCTGCACATCTGGATGGAAGCGAGCTTTGTCCTGACCACCATGGCTCTGGGGCTGTCCTCCAAGAAGGCGTCTTCCCGCAACGTGGCGGTGGAGCGTAGGAACCTGATTACCGTGTGCAGGTGGGCTCTGCTGGCGGGCGGGGAGCGGGGTCGGGCGGCTCTGGAAACCGGGGCGAGCTGCCTGCGGGAGGATGCACGGCCGCCGCGGAGACAAGGAAGGTGGCACAGGGTTCAGAGGAGCGCGTCCACCGTCCTCTGAGGCCCAGACCGGGAGGGGGTTTAGAGGCCTGGTTCCTACCATTCTAGGCCAAGCCAGGCCTTGCCCAGCCCGAGGCCTGGAGGGTGGGGGGTGTTTAATTGGCGCTGCAGCTTCCTGTGAGAACCAGGAAGTGACACGGTGCGAGGGGGAGGGTGGTGGTTGGCTCCCCTGCTGAGGACAGGGCGGCTGGATAGGCGATCGCTGCCCTCCAGGCATCCCTGCATTCCCACCAATAGCCTGGCCTCTCTGGAGCGGGCTTTTCTGGGAGGTTTTCCAGTGCTCAATCCTGAAGCAGAAATGGTGTCCTCCTTCTCTGGGCAGCTCCGACCTGTGGCAGAGTCAACAGGGCCTGTGGGCGAAGACCCTGAACTCATCCAGTGAAGGGAGAGGGTGCTGCCCTTGCTCTGGGAAGGACTGAGGGCCTGGCCGCAGAGACCTGGGTCTCCTTGGTTCAAGGCGAGGAGGTTGGGAGGGCAGGCCCATTGGTCCCTGAGGGTGGGCTGTTGCAGTGTTGAGAAGATCCCCCTGCTTTCCTGGGGCCCAGGAAGTGAACCTCCCACTGCAGCCTGCAGGGACTCACCTTCCCTGGGCTGCTCGGAAGCCAGGCATGGCCATTAGCTCAGCCTCTGCCTCAGCCCTCACTGTACTCATCTCTCCTTCTCGGATCCCCATGCCAGCTGCCTTCACCTGCAGTCTCCCTGCTCCCCTGACCCCCGGGGCCACCTCTGAGGGCAGGGAGCTTCCAGTGCACATCTCAGCTGTTTCCCTTGCCAGCTCCACCTGCCTGTACACAGGAATCAGTGCCCACCTGATGCCCTGGCTACTGTGTCCTATAGCTCCTTCCAGGTTCCTGGGCACACACCCAGCCACACTACGCCTGTCTCACACCACTAGATCCCTAGTGCCTGGCACAGTGCCGTGCACATCAGGTCTCTTAAAGATGCCTGACGTGTTATAGAAGGGATGAGTAAAGTGTAGACCTCTGCCTTCACCCTCACACCTCAACTTCTGCCAGTGTGGTGTAAAACCAGGATTTCTGCCTTTGGGGCCAGATGGTCCTAGGTTCAAGCTCTTGCTCCATCAGTTATTAGCTGTGCAACTGTGGTGAAGTCTTCTACTCATTCGGATCTTGGGTGCCTCATCACCCCCATTATAGATGTAACAGCCATGCCAAGGAATGGTAATGACATCATCCCTGTAGGAGTCTAGCCCAGTGCCTGGCACACAACAGCCCTGTCCTGATGACACCCTTCCTGTCCCTCTCCTCCCTCCTGACCTCCTCGGCTCCTCTTCTTTCTCTTGCCAGCCAGGACAGCTGGGCCTCTTGAGTGTGTGGGGGAGGGGGAACTCCCCTTGGCCTAGGCTGCAGAAGCAGAGGTTCTGGTGGGTTGAAAATGGGCTGAGAGCTGCTGGTGTGAGAGAGAGAGTTTGGGGAGAATCAGGGGCATGACAAAGGCTAAGAAACCCCTCGGGCCTCGGCTGCCTCATCAGTGTCACATGGTTTGCCTCCAGCTCCCAGAACAGGTCCCTTTAGCAAGCTGAGGTCTCCCCTGGGCCCTGGCCTCCCTGTCTCCATGGCAACCTGCAGCAGCCACTGCACCTCCTAACAGGGAGCACACCATGGAGCTCCCGGGGGCGATGACCATCTCTGCAGCACCCCTGAGGACAGATGCTGCGATGCTGAAACCAGCCCCAGGTCCCCACTGTGGTCTGACCCAGATGATCAGAAATCATCAGGGTGTGGGGGGCTGCATAATGAATCCCAGATAATACCCTAAACACAGGCTCCTTCTGGCAGGCCCAACCTTCCCATTAATGGCCCAGCCTCTCCGCACCTCAGGATTACACACACTCACCTTCTTCTAGTCCTGTCTGGGATCTGAACCAACATTTAATGAGGCAGGTCATACTGTTCCTGTTTGCACCTGAGACGATGGGCCTCTGCGAGAGGAAATGACTTGTCCAAAGCCACGTGGTATCACCAGGAAACAGGACTGGAGTCCACCAGGCTGCCTTCCCCTAGTGCAACCCCAACACAGACCTGGCTCTGAGCTCAAGCCAGACCAGCTCTAAGTCCAAAGGGAAGGAAGGAAGGTCCGTGGACCCAGCTGTGCCATTGGCCTGAGAGCCAAGGATGCCAGTGCCCGAGGGCTGGAGCACAGAGTGGAGGACAGAGGGCAGAGCAGGCAGGGGCTACTCAGGTCCTTGGGAACTTGACAGCCACCAGGGGACCGAGATATAGCAGAGAGAGCAAGGGCTTTGGAATCAGACATACTTACTTGAGTCCTCAGAAGCTGTGTGATGTGACTCTGAACAGATCCGTCAACCACTTGGACCCTCAGTTACCTTCTATGTCAGTGATGGCGAACCTTTTGAGCTCGGCGTGTCAGCATTTTGAAAAACCCTGACTTAACTCTGGTGCCGTGTCACATCTAGGAATTTTTTGATATTTGCAACCATAGTAAAACAAAGATTTATATTTTTGATATTTATTTTATATATTTAAATGCCATTTAACAAAGAAAAATCAACCAAAAAAATGTTGATATTTGCCATAGTAAAACAAAGATTTATATTTTTGATATTTATTTTATATATTTAAATGCCATTTAACAAAGAAAAATCAACCAAAAAAATGAGTTCGTGTGTCACCTCTGACATGCGTGTCATAGGTTCGCCATCACTGTTCTATGTGAACTGGGGATGAGGTTGATGATAAGAGGAACTACTTCCCAGGAACTACTTCCCTGTTGTAGGGATGGATGAGATGATACTGCAAAGTACAGTGCTTGGCCAATTACAGGGCGTGATAAGCTTAGGGGGGAAGGGCAGTTTCCAGCAGCCCCTGTATCTGCTCTGCCCCCCACAACAGGGCAATATGGGATGTTGGGACCCGTGCCCTCAGCCCTGCCCCACACATTGCAGCATGGCAGGTGGAGATGCAGGGGTTAGGAGTAGGGGTGGCAGGGGGAGCTGAGGCTTTAAGCAGGACTGCAGAGGGGGATGGCGCTGCTGGGCTGACTCCCTCCTTCTCTGACCCCCAAGGCCCCTTCCACAGATCTGCAGCCACTACTCCCTCCCACCCAGCCTGTCAGGCCCACACTCTGCACCTCCCCCAGCCCAGCTCTGCACCTCCTGGTTCTGGGCAGCTGGTGTGTGGGTGGCTAAGCTGGGAAGGAAAGGGGACGGGGCGGGGCCGGGGGGCCTTGGTGTGTGAGAGCCCACCTGGTCACCATGCATACCCACACCCCATGTTTTCAGTGCCAACTCACAGCCCTGGCACAGGTGAGCCCCCCACTCCAGAAGGTACTAAAGGTTATTCCAGCAAAAGCAGAAGGCAGCTCAGTGCAGGGGTACAAACCAGCTTCTAACTCCTAACTGACCCCCAACACATACTTGGGAATGCAACTCCAAAGGGTGGGCAAGGAGGGGCTCTGGGACAGCCTCCGCTCTGGGTGCCTGGACTTGCTACCTATTGTTTCACCCCCTCTCATACCTTGTTCCCAAAGCTTCCTTTCTCTGGCTGTCACCCTTCCTGTCACCCACTTTGTCAATCAGTCTCCCACCTGCTGCCCTAGCACGCCCATGTCACAGCACCGCTACGGTCCCTCTATTCTCACCTGTCTCCCACCCTCCTTCCCTCTGCCACCCCGCTACATCCATGCTCTTCATGACCTCTCCCCTGCCCTTTGTCCCTCTCTTTGCCTGATGCCCCTCCCCCCGCCACCATCACCCTGTCTTCTCACCCGACACCCCCCTGCCCCTTCTCCCTACCCTCCACCCAGGTTCTCTGTGAAAACGCTGCTGGAGAAGTACACAGCAGAGCCCATCGATGACTCATCCGAGGAGTTTGTGAATTTTGCAGCCATTTTAGAGCAGATCCTCAGCCACCGTTTCAAAGGTGGGCCCAGGTTCCTGTCCTTATTGCCCAGCCCTCCCACCCCCATCCTTTAGCTCCCAGCCACTCCACTCGGATCTACTCTGTGGCTTTCTGAACCCCATCACTGACCCTGGTCCCAATTCTGGTCTATGTACAGAAACTCGTGCAGAGTTAGGAAGAGGGGAAGGGGTCTTCTGGACATGCAGTTATAGGGATGTGCCCTTTGTGTACATGCAGGTGTGTGCACACACGTTTGGGGCAGGCACTATGTATGTGTGTGGCTTACACTTATGCATGTGTGTGACCCATTACATGGGTCCTCTCTAAACTCCCTTGTCTCGCTGAGCCCCCTCCCTGCCCTGGCTCAGCCTGTGCCCCAGCAGGTCCAGTGAGCTGGTTCAGCTCAGATGGGCAGCGGGGCTTCTGGGACTATATCCGGCTGGCCTGCAACAAAGTGCCCAACAACTGTGTGAGCAGCATCGAGAACATGGAGAACATCAGCACAGCCCGAGCCAAGGTGAGCGGCTTGCAATGGGCAGGACCAGGGCAGCTTCTCCAAGCTCTGGGTGTCGGGGAACTGCCTGCTCCTTGGTCCTCACCTCTGCCATGGATGACGGGAGAACAGCCACAGGTCCAGACCCAATGGCGCACACACGAGTCCCTTCAGTAAAGGTGAGCATGCTTTCCAGGGCCGGGCATGGATCCGAGTAGCACTGATGGAGAAGCGCATGTCGGAGTACATCACCACAGCCCTGCGGGACACCCGGACCACCAGGTCAGACCCTCTCAGTCAGCTCAGACCACAGGTCCCAGTGTGCATGTCCATTTTCTAAACACACTTGATCCTTAACTTCCTGCAGCAACCTTTCCTAGCTGCACTACAACTCCCAGCATGCACCTCGTTTCCCTCTCTCCCAGTCTGTCCACAGGTCAGCCTAGTCTGCAGTTAGGATACACACCTTTGGCACCATCACCACCTCTTCCAGATAAAATTCATTATCCCCATCACTTCCCAGCACCAGACTCACACATCTCTACCTTCAGACACACATCTGGACAAGTCTCAACCATGTATCGTTTTACTTGTTGGCCTTGTTCCGTGTCCTACAGCAGCCCTGCCTGTTGGGACTGCAGCGTCCCAGCTCGCGGAGCTTCATTCTCTGCACTGGGCCCCGGGGCAGGGGCAGGACCACAGGCGAGATGTGCCAGTGGGGAATGGTGTGTTTCCTGATTTTAAGGATCGGGGTGACTCAGTACTTGGTGGGAAACGGGTAGTTCAGAAGACGGAGGAGAGTCTCTTCTCAGGGGACACACGTTCTAATAGGTGGGAGACACAGGTGCTATTCCCAGGGGGCCCCAGTCTGAGGGAGACACAAGACCCACACCTGAGGGATGAGCAGGAAGCAGATACCTCCTTCCTCTAAGAAAGGTTTGTAGTAAACCAACCAGAGAGATCCCGAGGGACGCGGGCTCCAGGGAGGGTGCTGCACCCTAAGTCCCTCCACCCCCACCACTCTCCACAGGCGTTTCTATGACTCAGGAGCCATCATGCTGAGGGAGGAAGCCACGGTCCTCACGGGGATGCTGATAGGGCTGAGCGCCATAGACTTCAGGTGGGGCCTAGGTGTCGGTGCCCGCGCGGTGGCTGTGGTGGGGTGTCCCCACTCACGAACATACACACCCCCAACCCTCACACCCACCCCATCCCCGTGGGTTCTGTTCCCAGCTTCTGCCTGAAGGGTGAAGTGCTGGATGGGAAGACCCCCGTGGTCATCGACTACACGCCCTACCTGAAGTTCACCCAGAGGTGAGGCGCGGGATGGCTGCGCTGGGTCCGGGAGATCCCGGGCGGAGGGAAGGGGCGGGGGAGCCTGGGGTGCCCCCTGCCCCTCCCGCCAGCTACGACTACCTGACGGACGAGGAGGAGCGGCACAGCGCCGAGAGCAGCACCAGCGAGGACAACTCTCCAGAGCACCCGTACCTGCCGCTCGTCACCGACGAGGACAGCTGGTACAGCAAGTGGCACAAGATGGAGCAGAAGTTTCGCATCGTCTACGCGCAGAAGGTGTGCGCGGCGCGGGTGGCAGGCAGCTGGGGGAGGG